TCATCAGAAACCTAGCAGCAGCAGAATGAATTAAATGGAATCCTTGATGGAAAAGGGATGAGTCTGGAAGACTGTTTATGTTATCTCTTTATTCTTTCTTTCCTTTCAAAACAAAAGTCTTAATTCCTCCTTTACCTACTCAGGCAAAGTGATTGGGAAGAACGGGAAAGTGATCCAGGAGATTGTGGATAAATCTGGTGTGGTGAGGGTTCGAGTGGAAGGTGATAATGACAAGAAGAACCCCAGGGAAGAGGTATGGAGAAACTAAGTCTAGAGACTGACTTCCCGGAGTAGGTAGAGTTGTTTTCAAAGTCATTTTCTGAGGGTGGGATTTCTAAGGGATGGAGCATGGAAACTTTGTTTCCCTAGAGGATATAGAGCCCACTGAGTTGGGCGGGCTACTTTAGGAGACAGGGTGGGGCTTATTCTTCTGTTTGACTGCCCTTCCTGACCCATCTTTCCTTCCCTTCCCTTCCCTCTGCTCTCCAGGGAATGGTTCCCTTCATATTTGTTGGCACCCGAGAGAATATCAGCAATGCTCAGGCTCTGTTGGAATATCACCTGTCCTACCTGCAGGTACCAAAGCTAGAAGCCTGGGAGAGGAAAGTCTTAGCCAGGGGACTAAGACTGCTGGTACATAAAGTTAGGAGTTGTGGTTCCCAGTTTGTCTGAGTAGAATAGGAACATGGATGGAGATTAGGGGCATGAGGCTGAACCCCAGAATTTTTCCAGTTAAGCTGATATTTTCCTTCTCCCTACACTTAAATATGTGGGAAATAAGGGCCAGGGTGGAAAAGCAAGAAGAAATGGGACTGTACACTGATCCCATACTTAACTCCTCCTCCTTCCTCTTCTTATCTCCATTCAACCAGGAGGTAGAGCAGCTTCGCTTGGAGAGGCTGCAAATTGATGAGCAGCTCCGCCAGATTGGTCTGGGTTTTCGCCCTCCTGGGAGTGGGAGGGGCAGCGGTAGCAGTGACAAGGCTGGATATACCACTGATGAGAGCTCTTCCTCCTCGCTCCATACTACTCGGACCTATGGAGGCAGCTATGGGGGCCGGGGCCGGGGCCGGAGGACAGGTGGTCCTGCCTATGGTGAGACTGCTGTGGGAGGGGGAGGCAAGGAGTGGTATCAGGCTTGTGGGGCAGGCAAGGTCTAAGTAGAAGGTTGAGTAATGATCATGATGAAGAAGTGATTGGCTGGGGGACTTAAGTGAGTGGGAGAATTCTTCTGGTTTGGGGGCTGTGATGGATCCTGGGGTGGGGTGAGTGGCCCTGATTGCCCCCCACTATGTCTTTTAGGCCCCAGTTCAGACCCATCCACAGCTTCTGAGACGGAGTCAGAGAAGAGAGAGGAGCCCAACCGAGCTGGGCCTGGCGACCGAGATCCCCCAACCCGAGGAGAAGAAAGCCGGAGGCGGCCAATTGGGGGCAGAGGTCGGGGACCACCGCCTGCCGCCCGGCCCACCTCAAAATACAACTCTTCATCCATTAGCTCAGGTACCGGATGGACAGCTGGGTTCATGAATGTGAGCCAAGAGGAAAGTTGAGAGCAGGATGGACATCAGACTCCCAACTTCTTTCTTCCTCTAACCAGTGCTGAAGGATCCAGACAGTAATCCCTACAGCCTATTGGACACATCCGAACCAGAGCCCCCAGTTGATTCAGAGCCTGGGGAACCACCCCCAGCAAGTGCCAGGCGCCGTCGTTCCCGCCGCCGCCGCACTGACGAAGATAGGACTGTCATTGATGGAGGCCTAGAATCTGATGGGCCCAACATGACAGAGAATGGCCTGGGTGAGGAGTGTTCCTGGGCCTGAAAAATTGTAGATGGCAAGAATTGAGGGATGGGAGATTGGGTGCATGACTTACTTTTCTCTGCCCACAGAAGATGAGTCAAGACCCCAGCGTCGTAACCGGAGCCGCCGTCGGCGTAACCGTGGTAATCGGACTGATGGTTCTATCAGTGGAGACCGTCAGCCAGGTGAGCTAATACTGGGTACTAGAAGAATCCTTCCTCAGAGCTGAGAGTGGGATGCATCATTCTCTCTGGAAATCAGGGGTTGGGCTTGATACCTGGGTTTCTTTTCCAACTCTTCACCCTCTGCCTTCCCCAGTGACCGTGGCTGACTATATCTCACGCGCAGAGTCACAGAGCCGCCAGCGGCCAGCCCTGGAACGCACTAAACCCTCAGAGGATTCTCTTATAGGACAGAAGGTAGGCAGGCAAGATGTCACCCTTTTCTCGTTTTTGTTTTGGGCTTTGGGCGGGGGGGAAGGAATCTCTTGTGGAATCGCAGAGATGGCTATGTCTGATGGAGTTTAGATTGTATATGAAATAGTTGTCGAGAGAAAAGTTTGGTTCAGATTTTCTGGGTCCCAGTAAGAGTGACTAACAGAATCTAATAACCAGATGCCGAGAGGGCTTAGGTGGTAGGACATGTCATGCGCCTGAATTTCTACTTACAGCTTTCTTCTCTCCATTTTCTTTTCCACTTCCCCCTCAGGGTGACTCTGTCAGCAAGCTTCCTAAGGGCCCCTCGGAGAATGGGGAGCTCTCTACCCCCCTGGAGTTGGGTAGTTTGGTGAATGGGGTTTCATAAAACCTCCAGCTCGCATCCCTCCCTTCTCCATCTCGCTTGCTGCCCAACACCATGGCCCTCACAGGCCCGACTGACCTGCGCTGGAGCTGCTCTTATCTAGGGGGGTGGGGGGTGGCACAGCAGCTTGGGTCCCCCCAACCTCCAGGAGCTAGTGGAGGGGTGTGTAACAGGGTCATACCCTCCTCCCTATTGTCCACCCTACCCCCAGGGTGAGGGGAGCCTCTCTCCTTCCCCATCAGACTGGATGTGCCTTTATCCTCTAATGCCCCAATATCTCTCTGAACACCCCTATTCTCTGCCTGTTGGTGGGGGGTGCTCCTTGATCCACCCATATTTGACAGTTCAGGGGGGCTCCCCTGCTATCCCTCCTCCCATCCTGTACCGCCCATTTCTGGGGCCTCATCACTGTGGAAGACGGGGATAGTAAGGGTGTAAGTGGGTGGGAGGCATGGGGAAGGTTTTGGAGTAGAACCAGGGGTGTGTATGAAGGGGGGTGACAAGGTCCCCTAGGGGGAGGGGGGACCAACCTTGTCTGGTGGATGAGAAGGCGTATTTATTTTTCACTGTACAGTATTTAAAAAGAGAATAAAAAAATCCAAATGGCTTCCTGGCTTGGGTGCCTTACTTATCTGTAATTTGGCCAGCACTTTGTTTCTCTAGGACTGACTTGCTTGGCCCCTGACTTGTTTCCTATTCCTCCACATCTGGCTTCTTGTTATTCCCTGGTGTCCGAAAGATGGTCTGTCTGCTGGGAATTTCTGACATTCCTAAACTCCCCAGGCTCAGGTACCCTCTCGATTCAGAGGAAGGTGGCTTCTGCTTTGCTTCCCCTCCCCCTAGAGTGCTGGTAGAGGGCTTTGGGCCACTCCTATACCCTGAGTCACAGCATGGGCTAGGTAGGGCTGTTCAAAGCTGGAGCTGTTCCTGCTAAAAGTTGAGAGCCAAAGCAGACTGCTAAATCCGATTACCTGAAGCCTGCGGCTTGGGTTGGGCCTTGGGCAGAGTGGGATCCAGGTTCCCTCACGACAGCACCTGGAACCCAGGCATCCAGCCCTCGTTCCCTGCTGGTTCTCTGGATTCTGGCTTTTTCCTCCAGTACCCACATCATCTACCTGTCAGCTCTTGGGAGTTGTCCGGGGTTTATGGCTTGCTCTCTCCAGACAACAAGGCTTGGAGGTAGAAACTTGGCCATAATTGGTTGTCTTGGTGATGGAGAAACCTAGGTCTGGGGGCTGGAGCCAGGAGGGCTTGAGTTTTCTCACCTGGAGAGGGGAGTTGGCTCACCTCCCAGGCACCTGCTGGGATGACTCAGAAAAGAAAAATGGTCTACCTCCCCCTCATTGCCTGACTCTAGCCCCAGGGGCAGGTTGGAGATTTGAGGAACCTTAGGCACAAATGGGGTTGGAGTGGGGGTAGGTGTTCCCCAGTTCTTTCTTGCACAATTCAGACCCTGATGGCATTTGGTCCCAAATTATCTTCCTCTGGGCTTGATCTCAACTGTGGGAAGAAATGGACTTTAAACTGCCAATGCTTCAGAAGGGAGAAAGATGCCCTGGTTAAGCGCTCAGCTGCTAACCAAGAAACGGCAGTTTGAACCCATCAGCTACTCCAAGGGAGAAAGATGTGGTGGTCTGCTTTCATAAAATATCACAAGCCTTGGAAACCCAATTCTCTGTTCTATAGGGTTGCTGTGAGTCAGAAGCGACTCCACAGCAAAAGGTAAAAAGGGAGGGGAAAACATTCCTGGCGACCAGCGCTGGAAGGCCTGACATCTAGGACTTGGGTGGGGAGAAGGGAGTGGTCCCCTGAGGACAAGTGTTGGGGCTGGGAAGAACAGGACACCTGGGTTTGCCTAGGGGCGGGGGGCGGGGGAATGTTGGCCCCTTAAGGAGGCGCGGTCTTCTGGGAGGGATTGAGGAGGAAGGAGTCTTTAAAAAGCTGTTCCTGGGTCTGGTTTGCCACAGACCTTGGAGTCCAGAGAGTTGGGGCACCTGGGCTGCGCTACGCACAGCATCAAGAACTCAGACCCAGGAAGGGAAGGTTTATCGCCTCCACCGAAGGTAGGTAGGTCGGGTCGCCAGCAGCGAGTAAGGAAAGGAGGGTGTGACTGGGAGGCCCGAGAGGCAAGAAGACAAGGAGAGCACCACCTCTCCAGTACCGGGGTAGCAGACAGTGAATTCTGCTCTTCAGAGTGTGCCGATTGGTTGGGAACAGGGGTTCCATTTTAACGAATCTGGACTTGTGTGGACTTTTTAAGGACACGAATTTCTCCGTGAAGAATCCAGACTAAGAAGACATTTCCATTTTAAGGATACTGGATTTTGGGATCAACGGTTCACTTTGGAGGAGAGGGCGTTCAGGACGCCCTCCTAAAGCCTAGCCCGCCCCCCCCCCCCATGTCGCTACCAGGTTCCTCACAGGGCCAGGCCTGGAGCCTGGAGCCTCCTGCGCCCACGGCCTCCTCCTCCTCATCTTCGGGGTCTCAGGAGCCGGAGGGTGCGGGCAGTCCAGGGCTCTCTGCCGGGCTTCCCTTAGAAAAAGTGAAGCGGCCCATGAACGCGTTCATGGTGTGGAGCTCCGCCCAGCGCCGCCAGATGGCGCAGCAGAACCCAAAGATGCACAACTCCGAGATCTCCAAACGTCTGGGCGCACAGTGGAAGCTGCTCGGCGAGGATGAGAAGCGGCCCTTCGTGGAAGAGGCTAAGCGGCTCCGAGCCCGGCACTTGCGCGACTACCCCGACTACAAGTACCGGCCCCGGCGCAAGACCAAGAGCCCGGGCGCCGGGTCGCCCCACTTCAGCCAGGGAGGCGGCAGCGTGGCTGGCGGCGGGCCCATCTGGGGACCGGGTTATGCGACCACCCAAGGGACCAGAGGCTTCGGGTACCAGCCCCCCAACTATTCAACAGCTTACCTGCCCGGCAGTTATGGGTGAGTGACTGACCGGGCACGGGGCGTGAAGGAGGAGACGCTTATGCTCTCTTCTGGAGCCTGGGTGTTGGCGGGGGATGCCGCTGGAGGGCCTGGCTGGCAGGACCCAGAGACCCAGCGGGTCTGAGTCTGGGGGCAGACGGCTGCAGGTCATGACGAAAGAGCACTGTGTCCCCGGCCCCCCGCCCCAGAGTGTTGGGTGAGGGGTGTGGTGGGTGGGTTCCAGTGGCTTAAGGTTTTCCTAAAGGTCATTTCTATCTCAGTTTGGAAGTGGTAACCTTTCAAGGGCAGATGAAACTTTGGGATGTGACCATGTTCTAGGTATCCATGTGCCCAGTCTACTCCCCCTCTCCCCTATGGCCTGTGTGTGACCCAGCTTCCTCTCTGAGCCTCGAGGCGCAAGAAGAGGCCAAGCCCAACTCTGCCCCTTCCTGGCAGCTGCCCCAAAAAAGGAAAACAGCGGGGTAGCACGCAAACTGCTGGAGCATGCCCGGACATGGCTGTGCCGCACTCAGCGTCCCAGGGTCTGGTTCCGTTCCTGACTCTATCAAGTGGCAGCTGGTGGGCACTGGCAAACTTTTACTTTGGTCCTCTCACAACTGGTCAGACCCACCCCCAACCCTACCCAACACCTCCAACTCGGGCGCTCAAAAACTCACTGCCATTGAGACAATTGTGACTCATAGCGACCCCCACTGGGTTTCCAAGGCAGTTATGGAAGTAGATCGCCCCATTTTCTGAGGAGGGACTGGGGGGTTTGAACTGCCAACCTGCTGGTTCGCTTTCAGAATGCCTCAGGCACTGCGTCCCCAGAGCTCCTTCCTACCCAGGAAAGTGCCCTCTAACCCCGTCTTTCTTTCTTTTTTCAGCTCTTCTCACTGCAAACTTGAGGCCCCTTCTTCATGCTCCCTCCCTCAGAGTGGCCCAATGCTCCAGGGTGAGCTGCTCACCCCCTATAGCTCTCCCTATAGGCCCTCTGGCTCTCCCACCGCATACAGCCCTTCTCTCTCTGGTTCCCCCATGCCCCTAACCCACCTCTAACCCCCATGGACATGGACCACTCAGGAGAAGCCCCACCGTTTGTGTCCAGAAACACTCCTTACCCCTAGGATGGAAACCCTTCCTGTGTTACACCACACACTTCAGAAGGAAGCTGAGGTCCTCCCCAAGCTAAGGGGAATAACACAATACTTTTTTTGGTAGGAAAAACACAGTTTTGTATGATTAAATCATGTCTCTGAGTCTTTATTCCATCTCTACAACCCTCAGTGCAGCAGGAACCAGCGCCATCTCCACTCCCTTCCGCCTGGACCTGCCAGAGCAGGAACCTCCTCACCCCACCCTGGGGCCCTGCCTTAGTCATCCTCTGTCCCCCCTTCTGCCCAGCACTGGGGTCTAGGAAACTGCCAAATTGTGGGAGGGAGGCACCTGGAAGCCTTCTAGTCTCTTCCTGTCCAGCCTCTGTCCTTTGAGGCCAGAAGGAAAGAGGGGGGGTGTGAGGGCAGGGTGACACACTTCTCCAGAATAGGTACGTAGCTGGGAATGTCAGCCAAATGATTAAATGAGTTAATTGTACACGAACAGCACTTATTGACTGTGAAAATGTAAGCTTAAAAAACTCTACCCCCAGCCTTTCCTTTCTCAGGATCTGGGCTCTACCAACTATATATTCCCATTTAAAAAAAAAAAAAAAAAAAAACTGGCTCAAGAAGTTACAATTGTGGAGGAAGGTGGGGTGGGAATGTTTAATCAGAAAAAAAAAAAAAAAACAAAAAACCCAGCAGACCTGGCTCAGATTTGGGGGAGGGCCTGAGGTTGGGTGGATGAGCAGTCCTACTGTTCCTTTTTCTCCTTGTGGGGAGCCTTTACATTCCAGTAATAGAGGAGCTGGGCTGCAATGAGGCCGTTGCAGAGGGAGGAGACCACAAAAGTTCCAGCCATGAGGGGGTCTCCAGTTTCCTGGTTGTAAAGGACAGAGCAAAGGTCACCCTTCAACACAGCCCAAGGACAGATGTTCCTGGGAGGGGGGCAGCCTTAGCCCCTAGATGCGGTAGGGGAGGTTTTAGTGCTCTCAAGAGGGGAAGGGGTGCACTCACCTGAATGGAAGTGAAGATCCGGGCCAGAGAGCCCCCAAACAGCAGAAAGACTGTGATGGCTGAGAGTTGACCCGTGTGCCCATTGTGGTAGTTGGTGGCTGCCTGGAGCAGCTAGAGATGGAGTCGAGAGCCTCGGTTTCCTCATGTGAATTTCCATGTTATTGCTCCCTCAGCCAGTCCCTTATCCTTCCCCTTGGCTCTATTACTCACCCTCCCCATCACCACAGCAGGCACGTTGGAGGCCTGGAGCAGGGTGACCACAGCCAGGGGCATCAACGGTGAGAGCAGCACCAACAGGACCAGGGCATAGCAGGCTAGGAGAGCAACACCTAGGGGTCAGAGACAAAAAGGAGTGAGTCCTCCTCACCTCTCAATGTCTCATCATTCTAGCTGTCAGTTTCCCCAGGCCTGAGTCCCTAACAGGGCTCCTGGAGCCACAGCCTCCTGCTGGGTAGGTCCTCAGCACCTTTCACAGTCTGTCCTCGGTAGTGAAGGATCAGGAAGCAGATGGTGATGGTCTGGAGCATCAGGAACAGGGCTTCGCCCCAAGAGCTGCAGAACCAAGAGTTAGAGAAAAGTGGGCCTGGAAAGGGGCAGGAAACACCTCCATAACCCATCCATCTGGGGACACCATTCTCTCTGCTGTCCTCCAAGCCCTGTCCACAGGTGGCTCCTCACCTGTCTTCCAGCAAGCCCGATCAGATTGGCTCACTCTGGATCATGGGTATTTGAAGGATGCTGACTTCTTAGCACCTCCACAGCAAGGAATTTCCATAGGAAGGATTTGCAAAAGGGCTTAAGCTTTCTGGCCTTTTTACCTCTCTCACCCTACCCTTGGGGACAAAGGGGGGGCCCCCTCACCTGAAGGGGAAGTTGTTGGTGATGCTGTAGACTATGGTCCCAGTCAAGGCCACTAACTCCAGCATTACTGACTGAAGACTCAGCCCTTCAGCACTCTTGGCTCCCACGATTTTAAACACTTGGGGCAGTTTAACTGGGAAAAGGATGGGAAAATGAAGGGCTGAGGTGCTTCCATACATTTGGTAGCCCAACACAACTACACAACTCTAAACCTGAATGTGGAGCGTACTAATCCCACTTCCAGTTAAATGACCCATCCCGTTTATGGCCCCTCACCACCCCAGGCTCCATCCCAACAGCAAGGAAGGAAGATAAGGTACATACCCAGAAGTGACCCAGACACAATGCCTAGCCCCAGGACTTTGCTGAGGAGAATCTTGAGGCAGGGGACTGAAAAGAAAAAGGGGTAAACAGGGAGGAGGCCTCCAGGCTTTGAAGAGGTAGCCCGGGGGCAGAGGTCTTAAGTACTCCTATCAGTAGCCGCCTTTCCCTGAGGCCTGACAGGCCCACACAAGGAGGTACTGGGTTGTCTCAGGGCAGGGAAAAAGGCCAGATCCTCCATTCCCCAAATCATCTTACATTCAAAACAGTTTTTACCATGCTTTCCCTCCCTCCCAATCCTCCAACACCTATAGAATTAAACCTAAACTTCTTGGCCTGACTTCTAAGGCTTCCATTGCTTTCTTGTTTAAAGCTGAGCACTTCTCAAGGTGAGGAGAACCCAAGTCCTGTTGCCATCCAATGGATTCTGGTTCATCGCAACCCCAAGTGCTACAAAGTACAATTGCTTCATAGGGTTTCCTTGGTTGCAGTCTAATTTAGAGGATCGGCAAAAAAGAGGAAGACCCTCAACGAGACAGACTGACAGGAGCTTTACCGATGGGCTCAAGCACAGCAAGGATTGTGAGGATGGCGCAGCTGTGTTCTGTTGCACTTAGGGTCACTGAGTCAGAACTGACTCGACTGCACCTAACAACAACTCTTTATGCAAGGTAGACCTACAGGGCTTTTTCCCACAGCACTGCTTGTTGTTGTTATGTGCCGTTGAGTCAGACCCGACTCATAGCGACCCCTCCTTGGGTTTCCAGGGCAGTATCACTACGGAAGTAGATTGCCCCATCTTCCTTCCGGGGAGTGGCCGGTGGGTTTGAACCGCCAGCCTTCTGATTAGCAGTCAAGTGCCTTAGCCACTACGCTACAGCACTGCTAGGTGAGTTCAAACGGGCAACCTTTACATTAGCAGTCTAGTCCAGTTTGCCCTACCTTGGGATGTACAATTTCCAAGCGCCCTTCTCTGAACAACTCTGTGCTCCACTTCACAGGTCTTCTCTCTCCAAGTATAGGGCTCTGATCTCTATTCCTAAACCCCAGCCTCCATCATCAGAGGCCTAGGCCTCTCCTAGGCTCCTTCCTACTCTGGTGTTAACGCTAGCTCTCCATATTCTCATTCCTCGAGCTCTGGACATGTCCTCCCAAGGACCCTGAGCCAGTGGGAGTCAGACTGTCACAGGGCATGAATGCACCTAAAGTGTCCCCTGAGCATAGGGGAGGGATCATGAAGTGATTAGGACAGACTATCTAAAGGCTTTCTAAAGCCTTCCGAAAGGAAGTGCTTCCTAATGTTTGAGGTGGGTCTTCCTCTTAAGATGCCTCGCAGATAGAACGGAAGGTTATTACAAAATCAGTCCATGAGCAAAGATAGAGTTTGAAAGGAAAATGATCAGAGTAGCTGGAGCTTTTGGTAGTGCCATTTAAGGCTTGATTAATCAAAGGCTTCAAATGATTAACTTTGCTCTTGAAGGAACTCTGGTGGTGCTGTGGTTAAGGGATGGGGCTGCTAACTAAAACCACAAGGTCGGTGGTTTCACTCCGTGGGAGAAAGGTGAGGCAATCTACTTCCATAAAGATTTACAGCCTTATAAACGCTATAAGGGAGTCTGGTAGCATAGTGCCTAGGGCATTCGACTGCTAACCAGAAGGCTGGCGGTTCAAACCCACCAGCCACTCCTCGGAAAGAAGGTTGGGCGATCTACTTCCGAAGTGATACAGCCTCGGAAACCCAAGGAGGGGTCGCTATAAGTCCGGTCCGACCCCACGGCAAACAACAACAAACCCTACCGGAGTCACTATGAGTCCAAATCGACTTGACAGCAGTGGCTTTGGGTTGCTCCTGAAGGTTTGGCGATTTACCAAAGGGTGGAATGATTTGATCAGACCTTTACTTTGTTTTGTAAAATTTGGGTCTTTCATCTTTCATTATCGCTGGAGACCAAAGAACAGCATAAGCTTCACAAAGCATCACTTCCATCTAGTGACCCCTCCTCCCGCCCAAATATGGCGTCCTCCCTCTGTGGAGCCCGAGACACTTCCGCCCTTCTCCGAAGTGACTTCCGCCTAGTACGGTGTGGCGGCAGCAGCCGCTGTCACTTGGTCTCTTGTCATTCCCCCACATATAGTCCAGGGTCGGCCAAGCGGGACTCTGATCTAATGCTTAATAAAACTCACCGTGAAGCAAGTCCCACTGGACAAAAAGTTGGTCGTAGCATTTCTCATGTAGAAGAATCGGCACCAGAACCCGTTTCAGCAGCCCATCCACCTCTGCCGCCATATTGCAAAACTTGCTTCCGCCAGTCTCTCCAGAAAGCCACCGGCTTACTGTGCGCATGTGTCCTGCGGGTACGCCTCTTGTTCTTTTCCCGCGACTTAGATGGACCGCCCCTAGGTCTCTTGGCTCTTTCTTACAACACCCGTGGTCACTAGTGCAAAATAGGATTAGTTTTGCACACACCCAGCTGTTCGAATTATAAAGCGTGCCAAAGCGGTACGCCTGCGCAGTTACATCTTCCGTGCCTTTGTTTACGCTTCATCTCTGAAGCAAAACTTATCCCCCCTGCCTTTCCCCGTTCCTCCTGCTCGGCGCCATCTTATCTTCTCCCCGCCACTTTATATCGTTCGAAGTTGAGCGAGAAGGAACATGAATCTCCAAAATGGCGTTGGAGCGGGGTGCTGTAGCTCTGTGTCTCCTGTTCTCTCTGTGTCTCCAGAGGGAACGGCACCGGCGAAAGCAGGACAGTTTGCGCCGGGCAGCCCTCCATAGACGCCGGGCGGCACGCAGGGCCCTACGCTTCTCCTTCCTCTGGTTTGCCCAGGCCTTGGAGTATGGTTGCGCCAGCAACTCCGGGGGCCGGGACAATAGTACAAAAGATGAGGGGGCAGGTGAGCCTAGCTTCTGGGAAGGACAACCCTCCCAGACCCCCCTACCCGCTGCAGGACCCAGTCCCTGAGTCACCACCCCGTGTCCTGGGCTGGCAGCGTTGGTGAAGTCCAGGCGGGAGCCCGTCTCGGCGCTGGTTCCAGGGTTCGGTCCCCCGCCCGCAGGCTCGATGGCGCCGCCTGTGGGCCAAGGCTCGCTCCTGCACTTTTTTGGGACCGCGTGCTGAGGAAAGACTTAAGTGAAGTCGAGTGGTGGAGCAGTCCCGCTGGTGGGAGAGTACCTTGGAATTTCGGACAGAAGTGCTGCGCCCTGCAATCCAACTCTGAGATGCCGGCATGTGGCGCGCCATCGCGGTGGAGGCGCTTCTGGGAGTCGAGCTGTGGCGGCTGGGCTCCTGCTGCGAGTATGACGCTGTCGAGCCCAACTTCAGTGTCTCCTACTCCACAGGCTGCAAGGTTATACGGCTGTTGAGAGGCGGTGTTGGGGCCCCTGCCATGTGTGGACTGCTTGGTCTTGGTGGCTGTTTTCTGTAGCCTCAGACCCCCCAGCTTGCTAGGCTTATAGAATGCCTACCATTCTGGCCCCCATCGATGGCACCATGGCCTACTACTGGCACCCAGTGGTGGTTCAGGACTGTGGCAGTTCAAAGGCGTTTTCTAGAAAGCACCTGGACACAGACTGCCTGAGGGTGCCAGTCTCCCTCCTGCAGGTACAGGGGGCATCCTGACTGACTGATTGGATGACCCAGAATGAGAATATGCTATTCACAGGAAGCTCCAAGGCTAAGAGTGTGTGTAGAGGTCAGATATCCCTTGCTCCCATGATTGATGAAATCTTTTACAGGTGGGATAGGAGCATTCCAGGGGCAGCAGTGATTTAGTCAGGCTATTCAGCTAGCCGTGGACATAAGGACAGAGCATTCTGGTTGCACAAGGGCTAATGCTGCTACTTTGGGAAAGAAATGATACAGCTGTGGCCTTCCCACCCACGGTTATTGCTGCCTGCTGCTGCACCCTTTGCTATGTAAGAGTTGTCAGGAAGGAGGTTGCCCAGACAGCTGGCTCTTCTGAATTGGTGGGTTGAACTAGAGCAGCTAGTGGACCCAGAAGAAGAGGAGGAGGGAAGGGAAGTGTGACAGATTTCAAAACCAGCAGTGCCAGACCCACGAGGGCATTTGATCACATGCTGATATTTTCATCCCTCCTCACCAGCAGTTCCTGGCTTCCTGAGATTCAATCATGGAAGGCACAGAAAGACACATGACAAGGAATTCATGACTTTTAATCCTGGCAGGACAAGGGAACCAAGGACAAAGATCTGAGTAGGTTTTACTACTCCTAATGAGGATAGGGAAAGGGGAATTTGTCATATTTAATAAAAATCCACATGTCCCTCCTGGTTGCAACATCTCTGTTTTTGCTCAAGACGAAAGGGAAGGAAGATAACTTTGTCTTTGAGAATTGGAAGGGTTGAGGCAGATGCTCAGAGGGGCTGGTAGGTGGACAGCCGTCTCCGGACGACGCAGAAGGCAACGAGCACCAGGATGAGGAGGCCAAGGGGGACCAGCCCGATGATGAGAGGCAGCAAGATGGAGCGGTCACTGGGACAAGAGAAACCTAGCAGAGAGACAGGGGAAGTAAGCACTGCGGTGGTGGTGTTTGGGATCAGAGAGCAAGAGGAATGTAGGGGCTATGGAGAGGTGGTGGTGGTGGTTATGTGCCGTCGAGTCGGCCCCTCGACCCCGACTCATAGTGACCCCTCCTTGGGTTTCCGAGGCAGTATCACTACGGAAGTAGGATTGCCCAACCTTCCTTCCGAGGAGTGGCTGGTGGGTTTGAACCGCCAGCCGTCTGGTTAGCAGGCAAATGTCTTAGCCACTATGCTACCAGAGCTCCCCTATGGAGAGGTAGGGAACTGAGAAAGGTGCTTGAGATTGGTAAGGAGTCTCAGTAATTAAAAGGGGAAAATGGACGTAGCTCAGTTGTAGCAAAGAGATGGGCAAATGGCCTATAGCTATGATGAGCTTGAGAGAAGAACATTTAGGGGTATAAGAATGGAAGTAACTCGTTTATGGGCCTGGAGAAGGGCTTTTGGTACAGTGGTAGAGTTCTAGGAGGGAAGGTAAGAGGGAGGGAGTAGGTCTTACTTGGTCCAAAGACCCCTGTGGGGGGCAGTTGAACAGCTTGTAATTTCATAAAGAGCAGGTCAAGGTGGAAACTTGGTGAAAGAATGATGCTTGCATTTCTGCAGCTGAAGCTCTGGCCAAGGGGGGCTTGGAGATCTCGAAGGGATGAATTCTGAGCTGAGAATGTCCTCTCTGAAAGGGTGAGAAGGGGTCAGACCCAGATCCCACTTCCTGTCCCCCAGCTTACGAACCCAGTCATCTTTGTGCTAGCAGTGAGAAAGGGAAGCAGAGTTACTCACGTGCTGCCTTGGGGAAGGACACATTGTACTCCACAGCTGTGTAGTTCAGGTAGACAACTTTCTGTGTTGAGTTCTGGGGAGGGGAACAGGAAGGCTCAGGGTAGCAGCAGGGAGTCGCATTCATACCCACATAGTAAGGAATGCAGCAAGGGATTGGTAGGGATGGGTGCTTGGAGGGTGAGAGTGAGGGATGAGGGTGGAGCCATAGAGCTGTACCTGCGTGAAGCCAAAGCTGAGCCTGCCATAGGGGAATGAGAGGAGCAGTTGGGGATGGGTGCCCTCGCAGATCCCTTGGACCTTGATTTTGTTGGGGTTCAATACAGAGATGCCCCACATCTGTGGAAATTAAAGATCAGTGTCATGAGAGTACATGGCCACATGGTTCCCTATTCCCTTCGTCCCCACCCTGTATTTATCCTTTTCTCTACTTGTCCTTCCTCCCCTCTAAACTACACACAGCAGAAGGACTTGCCTCTCACACCGCCCCCATATTCTAGATTTACCTCCTCTCCATCCTGGGTTGGGTAGTGGATTCGAATCTGAATCTGAGCTTGGAGCCGGACACAGGGTTGGGAAACATTAGGCCACTTGTAGTCTCCTATAGCTTCCTTGGAGCCTGGGCTAGGGCTTGGAGAGGGTGGAAGTGGTCCTGGGATGGATGAAGTGGTGTTTCCTGGGCTGGTAGAAGTGCTATTACTTGTTGGATGAACTGTGGTATTTCCATGACTGGCGGTAGTGTCAGGACTGTGAGTGGCAGTTGTAGGTCCATGGCTCGTAGTACCTGTGGTAGTTGTTCTGAGAGTGGTGGTTTCATGGCTCTTAGTTCTGTGGCTGGTTGTTGCAGAGCTTGTGCTTTCTGTAGCTGTAGTGGTCACCGTGAAAGACGGCAGCAGAGTGGCTGATTTTTTATGAGGACAGTCATTTCCTGCCCCCTTGGCTTTCAGCACAGAGGAAGAGAGATTGGTTAGCAACCCTTGAGGCAGATGGCCTCCCAGAGGCCCCCTCCCTTCAGCCACCTCTTACCTGCTAGTAGGCCCAGCAGAGCCCCAGAAAACAACACAGCCAGCCTCATGGCAGAGCCCTTATCACCCAAAGTCCCAAAGTCTGTCTAGCTTCTGCCAATACTACTCCTTTGCCCAATCAACCCTATTCCCTTTACCTTCTTTGGGAGAAAAGGAAATGAAAGTCTCAAAGGAACTAAAAAAATACCAACCCCCAAGCTGACTCAGGCACCTCAGCTCTAGTCACCAAGCTCTTAGTCATTTTTGTCATTAAGTTACAGGATTGGCCCTGGCTTCAAAAATGAGGTACTACCAGGGCAAACTAAGGAAGAGGGGGCAATCTACTTCCGTAGTCATACTGCCTCGGACACCCAAGGAGGGGTCGCCTCTTGGAGTCGGATCCAACTCGGCTGCACATAATAACCAGGGCAAGGTAGTTTATCACGTGGACACAGAATGGGATGTGTGTCTTTGGACTGTTGGTCCTTGGTGACCCACCTACCTAAAAAGAACTTACAATCTTTAGGCAAGGAAACTATTAGTGATGCAAAGCAACTCTCTCCTGCAGTATCTCCCAATAGGATATAGAACTACTCACTCCCCCTTAAGCCCATTAGTCTCCATCTACTACTTCCTTAGATGAGAAGACACTAGAGTGCTCAACCAATCCTTATCAAAGCATCATTTTATTTTGGTGAACATTTTCTCAGCGCTTAGATGACTCAGGAGCTCTGGTAGCATAGTGCCTAAGGCCTTTTGACTGCTAACCAGAAGGCCAACAGTTCAGATCCACCAGCCACTCCCTGGAAACAAGACTGGGCAATCTACTTCTATACTGATACCACCTTGGAAACCCAGGGAAGGGCCATTATGAGATCAGACACCAATGATAGGTTTGTTTTGATCAAGAAATAGAAAAGGTAAGCATTTGGTAAAAGTGAGAACACCAAGATGTACCCAGTGGCAGATGGGAGGTTAAGAAATAAGAAGCCCAAACAGGCAGTTTCCAAGTCATTTTATTCAGAATTTCGTGTTTGTTTCCTGAATCAATAAATACTATACAAAACAACGTATAAATGGCTACCATTTTCTCTCCCCTGCTCCCCCCACCAAGGAACAATACCCTGGGCCACCTCACTTAATCTCCCTCCAGATTTGGTCCAGCAAATGTGGCTGAATAACATTATTGCCCCCTAATCATTTTCAGAGGAATTTGGCTTGGGTAGGGAGAGTTCTGGAGGTGACGAGGTTAGGGAAATGGATTAGTGTTTTTTTGGGAGACGGCGCCTGGGGCAAGAGCCTACCCCAAAGAAAAGGGTGTCTAAAATGTTCACGGTTCCTTCTTTTGCCTCAAAAAGTGACATTTATTCAAAGGAGGGGGGGAAAAAAAAAAGAGAAAAAAAAAAAAAAAAGACAAGATGTCCATCCCTTGGCTCCCTTCCCTCCCCCCTCCTGCTGCTGCTCCTCAGCCCTGCAGGATTGAACTCTGGCCAGGGCTAGGTAGCAGGATTGCCCCTCTCTCAGATGAGGTCAGCAACATTGAGGGGCATCTCCTCAATGGAGGTGTTGTAGAAGGTCTCAATATCTCGAAGAGTCCTTTTGTCTTCTTCTGTCACCATGTTAATAGCCACACCTTTACGGCCAAAACGTCCACCACGACCAATTCTGGAAATCAACAAAGACAGGACATGAGAATGGAAAGCTGAGTGGGCAAAATCTGAACCTTCAAGCCAGGGAAGATCAGGCAGAGGAGGGGTTAGGCAAGTATCCCAGATCTGTACTTGCCTGTGGATATAGTTTTCCCTGTTGGTAGGAAGATCATAGTTGATGACTAAAGAAACCTGCTGCACATCAATGCCTCTGGCCTAAATCAAGAAAGATGACAATTTTAGCATGTTGATGAGAGAAAGTAATCTACCCAGAAGAAACTTTGTTATCTATGTAGGCAGCCAAAGGCAGGCAAAAGGAAAAACATCCCCTTCTCCCCTAAAGACCTTGGACATGCCAGATTATATTCCAAGTTGCTACTTTCCGGAGAGAGGCACTAGGTGGCCCTCTGGAGAGGGAATCACCTTGGACACTCCCTTCCCAGTCTTCAAATTCTTTCACTTACCAATAGGTCAGTGGTAATCAGTACTCTGCTAGAGCCAGAACGAAACTCCCTCATGATCACGTCTCGTTCCTTTTGGTCCATATCTCCATGCTAAAATAGTAGAAAGATGTGAACAGGCATGTGGGTTCTGGGAAAACTGGCTTTAAGTAGAAACCTGGGACTGCTGGACATACGCATACGAAAATGCAGACGAAACTAATCTGCCAGCATTTGGCTGGTTAACTAGGACATGGTGGGAAAAACTCACCATGGCAGAGACAGTGAAGTCTCGGGCATGCATCTTCTCAGTGAGCCAATCAACCTTCCTCCGGGTGTTAATGAAAATGACTGCCTGGGTGATAGTCAAGGTCTCATACAAATCACAGAGCGTGTCCAGCTTCCACTCCTGGAGGGGGAAAGAGAAAATCAGTCAGGGGCTATAGCCAACAACTTATTACCAGGCCCGCCTCCTGCACTAGGCCCCACCTCGCGTTCCACATTGATGTAAAATTGGCGGATACCCTCCAGGGTCAATTCTTCCTTCTTGACAAGAATCCGAATAGGGTCCCTCATGAACTTCTTGGTCACTTCAAGTACATCAGAAGGCATTGTAGCGGACAACAAAACTACCTATTGAAAAAAAGATCACCTTTTTGGAGTGGAGAATACTCCATGATGCTGACCCCTTTCTGGCTAGGTGCCATCTGGTAGATTCTGACTCAGTCATCTGGTAAGACATAGTAGAAATGCCCCATAGCATTTCCTGACTGTAATCTGTATAGGAGCAGATCACCAAATCCTTTTCCCTGTAAAATGTATAGTAAATTCAACCACCAACTTTTCAGATAGCAAGTGAGTACTTAACCTGTGTGCCACCAGGGCTCATTCCCCCCTTCCCTAGTTACACTTCAAAGCGAGACTCCAGAATTTTGTATGGTTCTTTTGTACTCTTCTGTACCCCAAACACACCATTACACATACAAAAATCATCCGCCATACAAGGAAGTCTCTGTAAATGTCTTTTTCACCTGGGTGTTGCTGTTGAGCTTTTGAAATATGTCATAGATCTGGTCCTTGAATCCACGGCTTAACATTTCATCAGCTTCATCCAGTACAAACATTTTGATGTATTTGGGAGCTACAGAAAATAATACATGTGTAAACTATATTCTTTCCTGATAAAAACAAAAAGGGGACAGGTGGTCTGCTCTCAGAATGCAAAGATTGATCCTTTGCCCAGACCCCTGTTGGGTCAGACAACAGCCCTGGGAAGTAGAACACTACCTGGGCTAAGCCAACAGGGAAGGAAGCCAGGCTCAGATGACACGCATGGGGGTTCATCACAGAGCAGCATCCTCAGGAATGCAACTGTGGCTCAAGTTGAAAGACTGGGAAAGCATGCACACAGGGGGACATAATCTCAGGATTTGGAAAATGGACGAAGTTGGTACTCACATAGGTATCTTCGGTTAAGCATATCAAATACACGGCCTGGGGTACCCACAATGATATGGGGAGCCTCCATCTGTAGCTTCTGAACTTCAGCACGCACGTTGGTGCCTCCAATGCAGGCATGGCAAGAGGCACCCATGTAATCTCCTAATGCCATTACCACCTTCTGTATCTGAACCCAAAGAAAGATTGTGTGTGTACATGTTAGCCACAGCTGTGCCAGGCCCCATTTTAAATGTTTCTAATTTATTCCTCTCAATAACCCTGAAATAAACACTATCATTAAACACATTTCACAAGTGAGAAATCAAATCCACTGTAAACGACACTGCTAGTAAGTAGTGTCGTTATTTTGAACTCCGTTTGATCTGATTTAATACATCTTAAAGAAAAACTATAATATGGTTTCTTATCCACATTAAGAGTTGAACACCTGAATTAACTCTGAAAGCCAAGTATGACACATTTATCCCCATGCTTCACAGAAACCAGTCTAAGAACACCCACGCCCATATCATGAACCCTACACAATACATCCCAGCTACAAAACTTGAGCTAGGTGGCACGTTCACTCTCAGAAAGCTTTCTTCAGAGTGAAAAACTAACAACTTTGATAATCTTTGCCCATAAGTTAAGAGTTGGCCATTAGGATTTTATGTGCCCTAGGCATGAAATAGCTCTGGCCACAGCCCAGGCATCAAGCTAGGATGAACAAAGGACTGCAAGTCTGCTCTGCCCCTGACTGATATAAGAGCACCACCACCAATCAGGTGTCTCTTTGCCCATAGCCAAGGGTTTGTTCACAGCTACTAAACTTGCCCAGCCAGTCTCCACCTAATAGGTGTCCCACATCTGACTCAGAAAATGGGTGGAATAAGTGCTTGAGTGCGAAAGGGCTTGAATTAATCTGATAATCCATCTTCCTGACAGTAGGTCACTTCTTCCCTCACCCTCACCTACCCTACACACTTCAGCTCTTTTGCAAAGTGGGTGGTTGGGAACATACCTCTCTGAACTACCGATTATGCTAATAATTTCTAAATCACTCCCCTTGGGGTGGGGGTGGGGAGAGAAATCATCTTCTCACCTGCTGGGCCAGTTCTCTAGTGGGAGCCAAGACCAACGCCTGGGTGGCCTTTAGATCCAACTCAATCTGCTGCAGAATTGATATGGCAAAAGTGGCAGTTTTCCCAGTCCCAGATTGGGCTTGAGCAATCACATCATAACCTAGACAGACAAATTAGGTGAATGTGGTAGAGGGCCCACACTTTGATATCATGAGACATTCAATAATGAAAATTTCAATATGCAACCAATAAACGTTAGTACATGCCAAATATATACTTCGCCAATTTTTACCTCACTACCAAATAGTTACTACAATGAGAATAATTCTGAATACAAGACAACTTAACACTACACCAAGTTATGCTAAAAACGTGACTACACAAACATGAGACAGCCAAAATACTACCTTTATTGGAAATTTCCCCCCACAAAACCTCCTACAACCCATCTGTCCATGGCATGAACCAGGCATGGGCATGGACCAACAACCAAGCTAAGATAAATAAGGAGCTACTCTGTTCCTGGACATGAAATGGGCATCACCGACTGGGAGCCACTGTACTCTGGTGGTGGTGGTAGGGTCCAGAATTTGCTCTGGGGTCAATGGCTCTCACCCTTGATACAAGGAAGAATGGCTCGCTGCTGGATGGCAGAGGGCTTCTCGAAACCATAGGCATAAATGCCTCGGAGAAGGGATTCAGAGAGATTCATGTCATCGAAGCTGTCAACAATCTCATTCCAGTTACTCTGTAAAGGAGAAAGGCTCAAAAGTAAGATGGGGAGATGTTCTAGCATTACAGCAAGTTAAGACCTTATACCTGAACAGACATTGAATACATATAGCCCACAGCTCCTCCTCCCTCCCAAGAAAAGATCTGGCTCTTGATAGTAAAGACTTCCTTCGAGTGGGGCTTTAACACCTGCCCCAACTTGGTTCTGATTTTAGTTTTAATTTTAGTTATTTAACTACCACTGCAGCAACCAGAAAACAGTGGCACTGCCTTTCTCAAATTGATGGCAAGGGTTCAGTCTCACCTCGATGACGCCTTCGGGTTCCATCCCATCTGGGCCATTGTCTCTGGATCTGTCGATGAAAGCACATATTTTGTCCCCTGCCGGAGCCAGGTCAAAAGTCCTGACAGTTGGGCTCCTTCGAGCAACCAGTCCTGCATGGTATCAGCCATCAGACTCCATTCCTTGACTCAACCCCCACCAGTTCCTAGACGACTAAGCAGGGATGCTTGAAAACGGATTCAGGCCTATGTCCCATTCTGGGACTGACTTAGGCCAGGCTGCATCCAATGGGTAACCCTCCCAGTAGCTTTAAAGCGCACCGCAGTGCTGACAGTGCCCGGATGTGGTGCTTGCCGCCAGGTCCACGTGTCCCGGGCCTAGCTGCTCAAAGCCCAAGCGCATGCACCTCCCACCACGGCACCAATGCGCCGGAAGTCCCGCCCTTCACCTCTCAGATTGGAGAGTAAGACATCCCCTTACTCACGTCACTACGCCCGCGCCCTCCCCCACTCCCTTCAGCCGACCCCCTCCCACCTCCTGGTGTTGCCCGGATGTGGGAGGCCGCGGGCGGTGGCGGCCTCGCGCACAATGAGGCCCCAGCCGAGCGAGCAAAAGGGGAGATTGCACAACACTCAGAAGCAAAGCAGACTGGGGGAGGGGAACGCCTCAGGCAGCCATGTGCTCGCTCCCTCGACCACCCGGCGGTGTCTCCCCCCGTCACGGAATAATCCACACCCTGCCCGCCCCGTCGCGAAATGGCGTCGCCCTCCCATACCTCAGGCCGCTCACCCCCGAAGGAAAGTGGACCTGCCCATCTGCAGTTTGCCAATTGCCCGGCTTGTGCGGCAAAATGGACCCGCCCGCCCGGCGCCGGGTGGGCTCCTGGCGCCTCACTCGACCGCTCCTCGGGGTTAGGCTCAGTCCTGGCCGTCAAGAAAACCAGCATACTGAATGGCTGGTTTCTTCTTCCCCAACCCAGATTTCACCCGCGAAGCGACTGAGTTTGAGGACCCAGGCACCCCCGCTTGTAGCAAGTGGTACCGTCAGAATCCTCCGGAACAGCAAGCGCGAGCCCTCCCCTGGCACTGAGGCAACTGGTCTGGCCGCCTCTCCTTTCTTTGCCACACTAGATCGCGGCCTAGTCTCACCACTCAGTGCTAAGACTTCGAGCATGGCACCGCTCCGGACCCGCAGCCTCTTAACGAACCTCGCACGCTAGGCCTCGAAAACCAGCCTGTCTTGCCTCTCTGATTAGGCCCTGGGTGGCAGCATAGGCCGCTGATCTTCCCCCTCAGTCCTCCCGGACCGCTTCTCCCGACTTGGTTTCCCTCGCAACCCTGGGGGACCTAGGGCAGTGGGCCTCAGCTCTCCCTGGCAGGGCCCTCGGAAAGTAGTGGCAGAATAAGTACCCACCACCTCCTGCAAATGCCTTTCTTACCGGGAATCCTGACTCGCAGACATGATCCTTAGGAACTAGGGCGGAGGGCCCGCCTATCGACAACTTATAGAGCACCCGACCCCGCCCCAGCCATCGCATTGGCTTGGCCGCCTCTTCCCCGCCTGCTGGCGCTCGGCAACTCGGCGTGACGTTAGGGCGTAGGCGCTCTGGTACCCAGCCATCATTGGGTAACTCATGTGCTTATCAAGACGAGGACCCGCCCCACGGCATCATTGGGCAAAGGGCCCGCCCTTCTTGCCGGTACGGAAGTGACATACGGAAGGCAAGCCTCGAGGCTTGGCAGCCATCTTGAGATCCTGTACCCTTACACGTGGGGAGGCAACAGTGCCTGAGTCATGTGGCCTAGAAGGCCCTATCACGCGAAGCGAGGCGGGGGGAGGAGGGCAGTCACAGTCCCCAGGGACTTCCGGGCTCCCGGGATTACCACTTCCCTTTACTTCCACCCCAGATCTCCACTGGACCCAGATTTAATTTATGTTCTCCCCTTCAGCCAAGATAGACCGAACACCGCTCCGACGTGTTCTAAAGGAGTCATACACGAAGCTGGGAGAAGATCCTGTTCTAAAGAATTCCTCTGGCTGGAACGAGGAGGAAGGATGAAAGAAACAACTGCTGGGCTTACCCGTGCATTGTGTAGCTGTCATGAATCCTCTCCCCAGTCCCTTCAGTTCCCTGTTCCCCAGCTTCAGCATCTCTCAAGCTTCCTTGATTTTGAGGTGTACCTACTCTCCCTCCTTTAGGTCCTCTGCTTCCCTTGCAGGGAGGGAATCATTTGGGCGTTGAAAACTTGGTGTTGGCACTACCTAAAGTCAGAGACGGCCAGCTGGACCCTATACTATAATGACTCAAAAAAGACTAGTTAACAACAATAGGCCTGAAATAAAATAGAGTATATCCATTACTTTGAGGCCCCTTAAGGAAGACCACCACTTATGTATCTCCAAAGGATCCTTTATTGATCAGAGCAGGACCGTGGCATTTATATATATATTATATATATATATATAAAAAAAAAGTTTGAAGATCTGGCAGGCAGTAAACCCTTTGCCCGCCAACCCCCCACCCCCAGCACTTATACTCCTGCCCTCTGCACATGAAAGGGGGATGACTGCCCCACCTAGGCCACAAGGCCACACTCCCTTACAGAGGGAGAAAGAGGCTTTACCATGGCTATCCCCTGCCCATCAGAAATCAGCAAGTATTCTCTCAAAAAAAAAAAAAATACAGAAATCAATTAAAACATTTAAATATGAAAAACCAAAGGGATTAGGTAGGAAAAGGCAAGAAAGGAATTGGACTTTCTTGGGAAGGAAGGTTTTCCCATGTCCCCTGCCCATTAAAGAGCTTGGGGCCTGGGATACAAGGCTCACACAGTGAGTTTGCAGTGACACAGCTCCTTGTAGATCTGCCGACGAAGTTTGGGCATGTCCTGCTGGGTGAAGCTGAATGGCTGAGACAGGGCCAGGTGCTTGCAGTACTGGGTGTTAACAAAGCAGGCCATGAGAACTATTCACTGAGCATCTCCCCAAGTCAGGGCCTGTGCTACGTATTTCATATGAGATATATCACACACGACTTTTAACAGAATATCCCCATTTTACGTACAAAGGGAGATCCCATAGGTTGATTTTTTTTTAAAAAAGTCTGACTCGAAAGCTGGTGTGCTTACTTGATAGATGATATTAGTATTTCAGAGGGATAGGAAGCAGCTGTATCAGGGTCAGAGACCAGGAGAGGAACAATGAAATCAGGATTTTGGCGTCTGACACTGCTCCAACAGTGGCTATGAGCCAAATAAGGGATGTAGAATATCTTACTCTCCCACCCTGGCCCTAAACTGATTCCAGAGCTGGAGGAGAAGGTCCCCAATCATTTGCTTACCTGCAATACGAAGGCACCACAGTCACTGTCATTATTCTGCCTGGCCACATTCTAGAGAACAGAAAGGAGGTAGGTCCTTCACCCAGATTCTCCCAGGGGTATGGCTCCATTTGTACCTCCTACCACTATCCCCACTACCACTTTGTACCCTTCCCTCTAGGAACTCACCATTTTGAAGTAACCTTTCCATCCCTGGTGAAAATCCAGTCGGTCTTTCTTCACTGCCTCTGCCTGAAGATACTTGGCAATATGCTATGTGGATGGGGAAAAGGAGAAAGTGACACTTATTTCCTAAGTGACCCCAGGGTCTGGTGGCTACAGATACCATGCCCAGGTCACTCCTCAGAGATCCAAATCCCACCCTTCTTCCTGGAAAGTTTTGCCACTGGATCTCCCCAGAGTGTTGTCCGTCTTCCCCCTTCCCTCTCAAACCTTAGGACAACGGCGGTTTAGGGTGCGCTGCGAGTCAAAATAGGTGATGGTGCGTCGCCTCACGTCAACAGAGATGAGAGACCAATGCACCTCCAGGTGGATGGGGATTAGCAGCAGCTCCTTATTGAAGATGTCCACCTAAGGAGGCAGCGCCAGAGGCCAGGTAAGACTGCACAGGGGGTCCTGTCTACTGCCATGAGGGTTCTAAAGAGGAATGGAGTGGCAGGCAAAGGAGCCGAATGGGAGAACACAAGACCTCAGCATCTGTAAGTTTAGATTCTTGAGGGTAAGGGAGAAGGGCAGAACACAAGAGGTGATAACATCATACTTGAAAACCCATGGTGGGCCAGGTACTTTTCATTCATGAAAGGTAGAAATGCCCATGTGGATGGCCTGTGTTGCTGAAACAGAGACAATGCAAAGAGACAATGACAAGTAGATAAGAGCCCAGGCTCAAACTGCCTGGGTTCAAATCCAGCTCCTCCATTTATTAGCTTCCAACTGTCGGCAAGCTACTTAGTAACTTTTTTTATCTTAGTTTCCTCTTCTATTGTTGTTAGGGGCACAGTAAGTGACTCATAGCAACCCTATATATAGCAGAACAAAACACTGCCCTGTTCTGTGCCATCCTCACAATAGTTACTATGTCTGAGGCCACTGTTACAGCCATGGTGTCAATCCATCATGTTGAGGATCTACCTCCTTTTCACTGACCTTCTGTTTTACCAAGCATGATATCCTTCTCCATGACTGATCCCTCCTGATAATATGTCCAAAGTATGTGAGATGAAGTCTCACCATACTCAGTTCTAAGGATCATTCTGGCTGTACTTCTTCCAAAACAGATTTGTTTGTTCTTCCGGCAGTCCCTGGTATATTCAGTATTCTTTCCCAACACCAAATTCAAAGGCATTAATTCTCTTTCACTCTTCATTATTCACTATTCAGCTTTCGCATATATATATATATATATATATATACACACACACACACACACACACACACACATACATATAAGGCAATGGAAAATACCACGGCTTGGGTCAGGAGTACCTTAGTTCTCAAAGTGACATCTTTACTTTTTAACATTTAAAGAGGTCTTCTGCAGCAGAATTGTCCCATGTAATACTTCATTTGATTTCTTGACTGCTGCTGGACATTGATTGTGGATCCAAGTAAAAGGAAACTTTTGACAACTTCAGCCTTTTCTCTGTTTATTATGATGTTGCTTATTGGTCCAGTTGTGAGAATTTTATGTTGTGTGTAATCCATACTGAAGGCTATAGTCTATGATCTTCATCAGTAAGTGCTTTAAGTCCTCTTTGCTTTCCACAAGCAAGGTGTCACCTCATATTGCAGGTTGTGAGTCTTCCTCAAATCCTGATGCCACCTTCTTCATACAGTCCAGCTTTTCAGATCATTTGCTCCTCATGCAGACTGAACAAGTATGGTGAAAAGATACAACGCAGACACAAACCTTCCCTGATTTTAAACCACAGTATCCCCCTCTTCTGTTCAAATGACTGCCTCTTGGTCTATATACAGGTTCCTCATGAGCACAATTAAGTGTTCTAGAATTCCCATTGTGCACAATGTTATCCATAATTTGTTATGATCTACAGTTGAATGCTTTTATGTAGTCAATGTGTTAGACTGGGTTCTCTAGAGAAACAAAAACCAGTAAAGCTTATATATATGTATACATATAGAAAAATTTATCTTAGAAAAATGGCTCACACACTTATAGAAGCTGGCAAGTCCAAAGTTCCTGGATCAAACGTTAAGCTGGAGGCTTTTCCTGGCTCCTGCAAGCGCAGGGGCTGAGGGGCTCAAGGCTGGCAGGCAGTACACCGACTACTGACTCCAATGAACAACGAATCCAAGATCTCCAGCCAAATGGTGGACTGTTCACTCACAGGCAGTTGTAGGCAGCACAAGAGAATCCCAATCCACAGAAGAATGTCTCTCTTCCCAGGATGTCCTTGGATATATTCGAAGCAGGCCACACCCCTAGGGAAACTCCCTTTCAAGATTGGCCACTCAGAACATAGTCATTTGATCCCATCATGAGAACAACCACAACACAACAGCTCAAACCACACAGAATTGTGGTCCGGCCAAGTTGACACACAGCTCCAACTATCACAGTCAATGAAATACAGATAAAACATTTTTCTGCTAGTCTCTGCTTTCAGTCAAGATCTATCCATATAACATCACCAATGACATCCATCATTCCATGTCCTCTTCTGACTCTGCTTGAATTTCCAGCAGCTCCCTGTCAATGTGCTTCTGCACATGTCAATTATCTTCAGCAAAATTCTACTGACATGTGGTATTAATATTGTTTGATAATTTCCATTCTGTTGGATGACTCTTCTTTGGAACAGGCACAAATAAGGATCTCTTCCAGCTGGCTGGCCAGGTCTTCCAAATTTCTTGGCACAAATGAGTGTTTCCAGATTTACATCTGTTTGTTGAAACATCTCAACTGGTAGTCCATCAGTTCCTGAAGCCTTGTTTTTCGCCTGTGCCTTCAGTACAGCTTGGACTTCTTCCTTCAGTGCCATCAGTTCTTGATCATATGCTACCTCCTGAAATGGCTGATTGACCAATTCTTTTTGGTACTGTGAGTCTATATTCCATCCCTCTTTTAATGCTTCCTGCATTGTTCATTATCTTACCCATAGAATCCTTCAATATAGCAACTCAAGGCTTCAATTTTTAATTTAGTTCTTTCTGCTTGAAAACTGCTGAGCATGTTCTCTTTGGTCTTCTAACTCCAGGTCTTTGCACATTTTATTATGATACTTTGTTTTCCTGAGCCATCCTTTGAAGTCTTCTGTTCAGCTCTTTTATTTCATCTTTTCTTCCATGCACTTTAGCTACTCTATGCTCAAGAGCAAGTTTCAAAGTCTCTTCTGACATCCACTTTGTATTTTCTTTCTTTCCTGACTTTTTAATGACCTTTTGCTTTCTTCACGTATGATGTCCTTGATGTCATCCCACAACTTCGGCAATCAGTATTCAATGTGTCAATCTTGAGACGGTCTGAAAATTCAGGACGGATACACTTGAGGTCATACTTTGTCTCTTGTGAACTTGTTTTAATTCTGTTCAGCTTCAACTTGAACTTGCATATGACCAATTGATAGTCTGTTCCCCAGTCAGCCCCTGACCTTGTTCTGACTGATGCTATCAAGCGTCTCCATTGTCCCTTTCCAGACGCAGTTGATTCTTCTGTCTTCCATCCAGTGAGGTCCACGTGCAGAGTCATCATTTTTGTTGAAAAAAGCTATTTGCAATGAGTAAGTTGTTGGTCCTGCAAAATTCTATCATGAGTTGTTTCCATCACCAAAGCCTTATTTTCCACATACCTATCCTTCCTCAAAGGAGCTCTGGTGGCACAGTGCCTAAGGCATTTGACTGCTAACCAGAAAGTTGCAGTTCAAATCCACCAGCTGCTCTGTGGAAGGAAGATGGGGCAATCTACTTTGGTAAAGATGTACCACCTTGGAAACTCAATAAGGGTTGCTATGAGTTAGACTCTACTCAATGGCAGTGAGGTGTTTTTTTTTTTTTTGTATCCCACCTTCATTTCCTATTTTCATATTCCAATCACCAGTAATTATCAACGCATCTTAAGTACATGTTTGATCAATCTCAGACTGGAGAAGTTGGTAAAAATTTTCAATTTCTTCATCTTTGGCATTAATGATTGGTGTGTAAATTTGATTAGTATTAACTAGTCTTCCTTATAGGCATATAGATATCATTGTCACTGTTGTACTTCAGGATATATTTTGAAATGTTCTTTTTGACAACGAATGTATCACCGTTCTTCTTCAATTTGTCATTCCTGGCAGAGTAGACCATATGTTTGTCTGATTCCAGTCCTGGCTAATACCTAGTATACTAATCTTTACCAAAAAACCAAAGCAAATGCACTGCCATTGGGTTGGATCCGAATCACAGCAACCCCTCCTGGGGTTTCCGAGGCAGTATCTCTATAGAAGTACATTTCCCAATCTTCCTTCCAAGAAGTGGCTGGTAGGTCTGAACCGCCAGCCTTCTGGGTTAGCAGTCAAATGCCTTAGGCACTATGCCACCAGAGCTCCCGCTGATCTTTACGTAGTTCATTTTTTTTTTTTTTTACAACTTCTAATTTTCCTACATTTATACTTAGTACATTTCTCATTCCAATTACTAATGGATGTTTGCAGCTGTTTCATTTTGAGTTGTGCCACATCAGGAAATGAAGGTCCCGAAAGTTTTACTCCATCCATGTCACTAAGGTTGACTACTTTGAGGTGGCGGCTCTTCTCCATTCATATTTTGAGTCTTCCAACCTGAGGGGCTCATCTTCCAGCGCTGTATCAGACAATGTTCCACTCTATGAAAAAGGTTTTCACTGGCCAATTTTTTAGAAGATTGCCTCTAAGAGAGGGTGAAGATAACAATACCCACCTCATATGTTTGTTAGAGAATCAAACTAGTTAATATTCATAATGAACTTAAAACAATGCCTGGCATGTAGTAAATGCTCAGGCAGTTAACGCTCACAACAATCCTACAAAGTTCTTACGTTCAATCTAATGAGGAAAGTGCAGGTCAGAAAATAAAGAAATGGCAGAGGTGGAGTTCAACCCCAAGTAAATAGAAGGTCAAGCTCTTTCCAATCTATGTCACCCCACTGCTACTAAAAGCAGCAAGCCTACCTGGGGATATGAGCTTTTAAACCTTAAGACAGAAATTAGCAGATGCTGGAACCAATGATATCGCCTCCCTATAAAAATTCTCTGGCCTATGAACGAGAGGACAGAGAAACCAGGGATGAAAAGAACTCCTGGCTTTCCTCACCAGATCTGCTCCTCTCTCAATCTTCCCCCAGTTATTTAGGCCAAAAGTCTAGGTATCATTCTTGATTCCTATCTTGTCTTCAATTTTCCCACATTTACTCCAACAACAAATCCTACTGGTTCTTCCTGAAAACTTAATCCTGAATAAAACCACTTCTCTGGTCCAAGTTTCTCAAGTAGACTACTGTGCTACTCTCTTAGTCAGTGTGCTTCCTTCTCTTCTTGCCACTGCTTCAATCTGTTATTGAAACAGGAGTTTAAAATCATGAGTCACTTCCCTGCCTGCTTAAAACTCTTCCATGGCTTCTCAATACATGCAAAATAAAATCCATACTCCTTAGCTTACCTTACGTGCTGTACATCATCTACTCTCTGTCTTAATATTTATCATTCTCCCTTTGGTCACTCTGCTCCAGCCACACAGGCCCCTCACATGGGCCCACTGTTGCTCAAACATGTTCTTTCTTACCTTTGGTCTCATATTAGAACACTTTTCCCCCAGATCTATATGAGGCTGACTCCTCATCATTCAAGACTCAGCTAAGATAAGCCTCGCTAGGGCATCCAATCTAAAGGCCACCCTCCTCTCCATCACTCTACTACACTGTTCTAATTTATTTATGTTCATTCTATAGGGCAAGTTTTCCTTACTTAATACTATACTTTTATTGTCTAAAACAGTGCCTGGCACACAGAAGATATTTAATAAATATCTGAAAGACTAAATGAACAGGATTGAGGTGATGGCTCATAAAAACAGAACTGCAGTTCTTTGAAAGGAAAGTGTTACACAAGTAGATATCAATTCAAAACTCACGTTTTTGGTCCACCTTTTCACCCCATCGTAACCCTTGGTACGGAGTTTATCATAGAAGAAACTGTTGAAGAAATGCACCTGTCCCAACAACACGAAAGAGCTGATGGAATTAAAAGATCTCAGCCACTCCCTCCAAATTGCCCAACCATTCACGCCTCTCATTCCTCAAACCAGTCCATTTCACTGTGGCTTTAATTAAGGACTGATTTCAACAACCTCTACTCCAGTTCACTTACAGTAAAAACCAAATGATTGCTTTTAATCTTATAGCTTTCTATCCCATTTCTTAGGGTTAACTATAGAGAAAGAATACTGAAGATGGGGGGTGGGTGGGAATGGAACAGAATTCAGAAGTTCAAGGCCAAGATTATAACTTTGAATTTAATAGATGACTATTTCTCATCCTCCCCATTCAATCAAAACAAAACAAATCAGAAACGCTTACTATGTAAAATGGAAGAGATAAAAGGGATTGAAGTAATACTTAGAACTGAAAAAGCCTTTCTGGGGCTGAAGTGCCTGGCTGGGCCTACCTTTTCAGGGACAGTGTCCATGACCAGGTCTCCATACATGTTCATCACCTGGGAAGAAGATTGGAGGCAACTTGCCATGGAGGGTGCGGCATGGGCATAGGGCTCCCCCATGCAGAGGGCCCCAGACCCGCTACTACATGAATCCCCTCTTGTACCTATTTCTCTACCTCTTCTCACCTGGTCATTGAGCCAGTTTTGTCCATACAAGGTCCCCAAGTCATCCATAGTCAGCACATGCCGCTTATAGGTTACTCGGAAGCCCCTCACCATGGCATTTCCTGGCATCCGCTGGTAGGATTGGATCAACTGCAGCACTAGGCCCTTCCTGAGTAGGCCAAGGGTAGAGTCATAAAAGAGAGGAGGGGCTGCAGCATATGTAAATACCTTCTACTGTCTGGAATAAGAATCTAAATGGATTGTTTTTTGCTCATGGGTTATTTGAAGGGACTGGTAAATGTCCACTCCCCAGAAACAGGCACATTAGTACTACTAAGGTATACACGAGACTTCAAAATCCCAAATAAAGACTCTCCCAGGCAGCTTGTAATGAGTTGGTAAGTTCCCTAGAGCTCAAGCTGTCTTTTCCGCAGGTTCCTTGCTCTGGGTGAAAGACGGCTGTATTCTCTCCCCTTCCCCCAGCCTGCCTTTGAAGGGCATATGTTTTTCCAGCCTCACCTGGAAGGTGTAGAAAACTCCTGCTGGAAAATATCCTCCAATTTCTCTACTACCTCATCAGTGCTGAGGGGGATGAGGCTGCCGTAAGTTTGAAGGAATTCATCCAAGATGCCTGAGTGGAGGAAGAAGAGAGAAGCAGGGTGAGGCTTCCAGACTCACTAGCAGACCAGGAGTCTTTGGAGAGAAAGAGCCTAGGTTCTCTAGGGTGCCTTACTCTGCACACAGGTTACGTGTTCCTCCCGCAAGGGGCTGTGCTGGCCAGCTTTCTCCCCAGGCCGCTCTGCCTCTTCCATAGTACCCAAATCTGAGCCCTGAAAAAGCTCCTGGGCCACGTGGTCCCCGATGCTGCACACATTGCTGATGAGGATGCTGGCATCAGGGGCTGCCAGATTGCGCTCCCCTTCTGGCCCAGGTGGTCCCCCAAAGCCATTGGGCAGAGTACAAGGAAGGAGGCCTGTAGGGCAAGAGGAAAAAGACAGGGACGAAAAATTTACCCAGAGCAAAAAAAAACAAGAAAATTAAATGACGCATACAAATTGTAAGACCATAGGAAGAATAAACTGATCTATCAATATAGATCATAAAGAATGGAGACTCCAAAGCATAAGATAAACACGTACAAGAGCTTGTGAACACACATGAAGAGTTATCTACTCACGGGCAAGAGGAAAGCAAGAAAAGATTAAAATTAGAAGTGTAAATTTTAGAGGTATCTACCACCACCTTACATCTAACACCTAGCTTAGTACCTGGCATGTAAGAAAGGCTCTATCAATTTTCAAATTAAGATGTAAAGGGCTTGACATTATGTTTGGTTGGGTTTTTCAAAGGGAAATGCTCTGGACATGTACACGAGGGCCTTTGACTATAGAGGCTGAAGGGGGATTTCAAGTGGATAAGACTGTGCTTCTTCAAAACCATGACTAACTCCCTTTGTGTCTGTATTCTAGGCCATAAGACATCTGCTTAGGGATTGTTTCCTCAGGCTTGATTCCTGCTCCAAATGGGGCTTAAGACATTTCATAGCTCACCTAGACCCTTCACTCTGCCATCCTACTTTCCTTAGGACCAGTTCTCACCACAGCAAGAGGATCCTGCTGCTCCAGACTCTCAGCTCTCCTCCCTCTCTCCCTCCCAACCCGCTTCCCATCTTACCCGAGTCAGGGTCCAAAGGAGACTTTGGAGTCCACCTGAGTCCATCTTCTTCTATGCGGGGCCCAGAGGGCACTGGTGGAGACCCTCTCACCCCATCGTCAGCCATGAGAGCACCTAGCAGACCCAGCCGGGGTGGGGGTGGCCCCCGGGGAGAGTCAAAACGACAGCAGGGGGATGGCGCCTGTGGTGTTGCGCCCCCTTCCTGGGGTGAAAGATGGTTCTTGGGGTGCAAGAGGCCCCGCCGCCGGCCCCGGTGGCGCCCCCAAAGCTTCCAGTGGAATGTCAGCGAGGTGCTTTTTGAGTAGAGCAGCATCCGGAAGGCTCTCATAGCTCGGCGGCGGCGCTGTGAGCATATTTTTCGATGGTTGGGGCGGGGAGGGCGAGGCCGCTGGGAAGCTCCCAGTTGACCCCATCTAGGGGGCAGCCTCCAAGCTGCCACTTCCTCATCATCTTCATCCTCTTCTTCTTCTTCTTCCTCCTCTTCACTAGCTGAGGCATCAAAGGAGGGCCGAGGGACAGGGAGGCATCTGGCTGGCACTGTGGTCCCTGCCCCAGGATCCGGCCCAAACCCTCCACCTGATTTGAGTCGGGGCTTGGGAGGTGGAGGCCAACGAAGACGCTCTCTCCTGGGGCTCGAGTAAGCTGGGGCTATGCCAGGTCCAGGAGGCTCAGGCCCCCAAGACCCAGTCCCTTGTATAGTCTCTTTCATCTTCCAGTAACCTGGAAAACAAAGGTTAGAGTCTCAGAATACCTGTCTTCCTCAGCATGCCTTCCCTGTATTCAGATGAAAACAAATTAAGAGAAAAAAAGCAAAAATCATAACTTTAGATCTTCCCAATTAACACAGTCCACAAAATGTCATTCAGAGTTTGTATCATCTTCTCTTCTCTACCCAAGTAGAGGCAAAGGAAAATGGTTAAGCAGCAGGCCTCAGGAGTTTTATTTCTCAAATCTCTAAGTCAAACCCAGTATTTTCCAGCTGTATTGCAATAGTACCATGCGTGTCCTTAAACGCGCTGTCTTTACTCAGGTATTTTAGCGTGGGAATCCTCACAAATTCAGAGATATGAACACAACTTCCATAAGAAAACCATGGGTTACAGTGGGAAGAGTTCTCCATCACGCTGGGATGAATTGGAGGTTGGGGGAGGGTGTGTCTGTGGACATGCTTAAGTCCTTTAGGAAGGAATGGGGATGGCTAGGTTATGGTTCAGAGCCTAGAGTCTGATGAAAGGCAAAGAATTCTGAAGGAAACTGAAAGAGAACCGAATCAGTGTTAAGGCAGCAGAAGCTAGGTGCTGCAGTAGAACAGAAGCGCACAAGCCAGGCTGGCCCAGCCCTTCTCTTGCCCCGTCCCCGGCGACCAGAATGCGCCCCAGCACCGGTATGGTCCTACAGAACCGGACGGCTCGGGGCGTAAGGGCCTTAAGAAGCCCCTTCAAGGGCCTCGTAGGCCCTGGTTAGGTGAGAGCGAGATATGAGAATGGGAGAGGCCGCGCGGCAGGACTGGGGGAGGGGTAGAAGCGTCCTCACCGGGAGCGGGGAAGCCGGGCGGACGGGCCGGAGGGCGAGCGTCTCCAGCCTCAGGCTTCCCGGCTCATCTCTCCAGCGACGGTGGCGGTCCCGCCACTCCTGCTGTCTTCACGCGCAGCCGCCTCAGTTCAGGATTCTAACGCTCCTTGGGCGCGCGCCGCAAGCCGCCCCGCCGCGGCCGCCTCTTGCTCTGCTACAGCCTCCACCTCCGCTACCTTCCCCTCCCCCTCCTCCTCCTTCCCCTCCCGCGAGCCCCAGGCCCACCGGCAGTGGAGGCGCACGATTAACACGTCACACCCGGCGAACGGCGTCGGCGCAGGCACCACGCGCTTAGTCCCGCCTACCCAAAAACGTAGACGCCACGGGACTGTCCCGCCCCCGAGCCCAAGACTGGGCTGAGTCTGCGCACGCCTGCTGAATTGGGCCGCCTGCACCAACTCGCCGACTCGCCTTTTTGCGCCTGCGTGTCGGATCCTCTCTTGCGTCCCGCTACATAGCCCTACTTTCTTGGCGTTAGTGGGTATGACCTTAGGGGCCACCAGTATCTTCGTCCAGTGGCGCACATCAGAGGAGAGCTGGGAGGGCAGGAAAATCCGGATACAGGGGATGGGACTGAGGCGCGGCAGCGGGGAAATGAATCCGACGTATCGTTCATTCGTTTATTTAGTTTGAGCAAGGCTTGAGCAGAAAGGACAGCTCAGAGGAGTAACGCAAGACCAGCACCAGGCCGTGCGATCCATCCAGGCCTCTCCGGGGACCAGTCCTAGCCCAGAGGGGCTTGGAGTGACCTGCCATGCCAGGGAAGTGGAGAGCATGAAAGGCAAAATTTGGGACCTGCAATGTGGCTGCGAAGTGACCGTCGTCGGGCACCCCCGGCAAACGGTTGCATAATAAATGCACCTTTGGAGGTAGAGATGGAAACTGGTGCACAACAGATGGAGAGGAGTTAATGTATGAAAAGGCAGCAGCCGGTAGGGTGAGGCTTCTTAAGGTGGAAAGAGGTAGGATACCTCGAAGGCACCAGGGGCTTTCATGAATGTTTGGAGGGAGACTTCGTGGACCTCTGCCAATAGGCAGGATGATTCCCTCAAACTGCCGCTAGATGGTAGTGCTGTTCTGGAAGCATTCCAGTGGGACCCGTAGCTGGACAAGGACTGCCCCCCCTTCCCCTTGGATGGGGCAAAAAAGCAAGATCTTCTAGCTCTTTAATATCCATGAAATCATAGGCCTAGGAGTGGGGGGAGGGAAGGGAAAAGGGAGGAACGGAGAGTCTTGAAGTCAAACCCAGGGAAAAAACCTCCGTTCCTGCTTATTCCTGTCCTCTGGTCAGCTCTTGGCTGTCTCCGATATATATACCCACCCTGGTCTTCCAAACTCAGACCCACCTTTCATAACACAATCATAGTTTCACAAGCCCCAGGAATGTGCCATGTGGAGAGAGGCTAAGTTTGGCCCTTGCCCGGGGGATTATGACACTCAGAATATCCCCTTGGTATAAATGGAAGACACCTGAGAAAGGGGAAAAAAACGATGCTCAGTGAGGCACAGCCATCACCCAGGGGCTCTGATGTCTCACCCTCCCTTCTCCAGCTCTATCTTTCCTCTGCTTCCTGCAAAAACCTAGGTGTTTCATTCTTTGTTCCTCACACATGCCTCTCTACCCATGGCTCCCAGCCCCCTACCGAAGCTCCCTGCTCCACCCCTTCCATATCAGAGATCTAACCTGCTCTCTTTGCATCCACCCTCCCCTGCCTGCATGGCTCTCACCTGCGCTGTAGCAGCTATTGTAGGCCCTGTCAGGGTTGGAGGGCATACTCCGTACACATCGCAATAGAGTCTCCACCCTTCCCTGGCCCTCCCGAGATACCACCTGACCCATGGTGAAAATCACATCCTGGAACAGGACCTGGTAGGACAGGGAGGAGAGAAAACAGGATGGCTCAGGTCTGGAAGGCCTCAGGAGCTCTGATACGGAGGCAGGGAATGAAAAAGGGGTCTTCTAAGCTTGGTATGGCTAGAGGGGCCAGGAACCCTTGGGACTGGGGTATGCAGGCTGTGGGATAACAGGGAAGAGGTGGTCTCTGGACTCCCATGTGAGGTTCAGAGTCTGCCAGGTTACCTGGCTATACAGCAGATAAATCCCGGCGTCCCAGACTCGGATGACATGTCCTCGGGCCTCCAGGCCTCTGCCACGCTTTAGAGTTGGTTGCCACATCACTTCTGTCACATCAGAGCCCTCTGGAGGTACAGAGTGCAGCAGTCAGGATTTCTGTGCACTCACAGACACCTGACGGATTCACCTAGACTCAGATGCCAGCCCCAAATGCCCCAGTTCACACCCCTCCCACAAAGCCAATTTAAAAGGAGTGCTCACCTTTAGAGGTGATGTTAATAGGAACAAGGTGCAGAACTGAGTGCTTCTCTGAGGAAAGAAGGAAGACATATCAGCAGGGCCCACCTACTCCTGTTGCCCTATTTCTAGCCCGCCCTTATCCTGTCCTGTGCTGTCTGACCACCTCCCTCCCCTGTGGCACCCCAGATGCCTCACTCTTCTGTTTTGGGGTGAGCACTGCTCTCCTCCTCCGGAATTGCTCCCCATTCTCCCAGGCTTCCAGGTCCTTAGGGCTCTGTTCACGGAAACAGGGTCAGGGTTAGTTGAAGATGCAAGAGTCCCCCAGCCAGCCTTCCTTCCCAGCCCTCCCCCACCCTACCCCCACCCCAGAAATGCCTCACTTCTCTCATGCACCTTCCCCCAGAACCCTGAGTCTGGGTGCTGGCTGTCCTCCAGGATCTGTTAGGTATGAGGAGCATTAATCTTTAACAGTTTCCTTTCCTGGAATGGCCGCTCCCTTGACTTCCAGTCCCGGGACCCTCTCTTGCGCCCTCTTGAAGCTTTGCAGACCAGAAGACAGGATCGGAGAGGCCTGGAGACCCTTCTCTCCCAGTCACCCTTCTCCCCTCACTCACCTGCTCCCAGAGGCTCTGCCAGGTCTGCCCATCCTCCTTCCAGGAGGGTGCTCCAGTCCTCTGCAGCCAGCTCACCTCTCTCCTTAGGGTTTGCAGCTCTGCTTGATGGGTCAGCAGGGCCAAGGCACAAGCTACAGCCCCCAGAGCTGCCCCCCAACTCAACCAGAGGGCAACTGAGAGTGCCGGCTCTCGAGCTGGGCCCCCCACGTCGCCCTGGGGCCCTTGGGGGGCTATCGAAGGAGAGGAGGCTAGCATGAGCTGGGGATACTGCCGACAGCTGTGGCCTTAGGAGGAGGGTGACAAGGTGACAGGGAGGATGGGGGTGTGGGCACTGGTATAGAAGGGAAGAAGGGTGTTACGCAAGGGAGAAATAAAAAGGAACTTCAGAATGAAAAGGAGGGAGGAGGAAAGCAAGGTAGGGGTACTTTCCGGGGTGCCTGGCACCCCAGTGACCCCTGTCCTCCTCCCCCAGCCCAAGGAGACTCTGGAGTGGGTCTCTCTAGGAAGGCAGGCTGCCGGTGACACCCAGGGGGAGCGGCCTGAGCACAGGAGGTCAGGGCGGCCCCAGAAGTGGGGGAGGGAGGCCTGGCGGCTCTGGGGCATGGTGCCAGGAGGAGGGATGGAGGGACAAGCTGGTCAGTGTTAGGAATCAAGGGTGAGGCCAGCAGACCATCTGGCTCAGGCAAGGGAGAGATCTCTGGGGAAGTTTCTAGAAGGGACCAAGGTGGGACAGGAGGGGTGTGGGCCAGTCAGGAGGAGAACCAGAGTCAAGGAAGCCAGAGACTGGCTGAGCTCTGGGGTTAAGGCTGGGCCGGGTGTGTTGGAATAAGGCCTATACTGCTCCCCGTGCTGAACTTGGCAAGCAAGAGACTTCCTGTTTCCCAAGAAAAGCTCTTACGTAAGGTTATGGATGAAAAGAGACAGCCACACTCACCCAAGACACTGTAGGCTTCCTCCCCAGACCCAGGGGTCCTTGTGCCCATGTTTTGAGCCCCCTCCAGGCCTACTCCCACCCTGAACCCCAGCCAGAGGCTTTGCCAGCTCCTGCTGAAAGTCCCTAGGTAGCCAAGAGGAAGGTCCTGCTCCTCCCAGCTAGGGATTTCCCCGGCAGATGGATGCCCGCCTCCTAGGTAAATGAAGCCAGTTGGGCAGCACCTTGGCATAGGAGTGATTTTTTTCCTTGGCCATTTGCCTTTCCTCTCTTGGCTCACGCCTGGGGGCTGGAAGCATGTAGGCCTCCATCCCCAGGCCTGTACACCCAAAAGTCAAGACCCTTTCCCATAGCCCTCAGCTACCCTGAGGATGTCCTTTAGGCCCCAATAAAGAGAGAGGCTATGACTTATTCTCTTTAATATCCACTCATCAACACTTTGTCACAATAATAATAAAAATAATATCTGTTTTAAAAATCCACAGGGACGCATGGGGGCAGAGCTGGTCTTGGTCTCTTACCCCTCACATTTGGGGACATCTGGCCTTGTCCCAGTCTCTTCGGCTTTCTGCCACCAGGTCCAGCCCCTCTTAGTGTCTGAAGAGGGGTCTTCTGGACCCATCTTTGCCCACCGAGTACAGTAAATACAGTGTCCTGGGGGCTGCAGTCAGGGTGGGAGTTAGGAGATAAATGGAGTAGAAAGGCCAGGGGTTTGGGAACTAGTGAGGTGGAGAGCCAGAGGGAAGGGGGGCTGTTGTAAGGGAAGAATGGGACTATGTATGTGGGATGTCAACAAGTGAGCAACCCCGAGGCCTACAAAGGAAGGGGGTCTGGGGTAAGGAGCAGTTTGGGATGGGGCAGAGAGAATGGGTGTTGGGAGAGCTTGGGAGAACCAGCAGCTTGGGAGAACCAGCAGCTTGGGAGAACCACCTCGAGACCAGAGCTCCTCAGTGAATTTGGAAGAGTCCAAAGTAGGTGAGAAAGGGGGCAGCCTTGAGATGGGCCCTAGGGAGAGTGCGGATCCGCAGGGAGGACCCTGGCCGCAGTGGAAGTAGCCCAGACACCTGGCAGAGGCGGAGCTGGGGACCAAGAGAGCTGGCTGCTGTGGCAGAGAACTCCTCCAGGCAGCGCAGAGCCAGGGCCTCATCCACCAGTAAGTCCAGCTTTAGGTAGACAGCCTTCCCCTCATCAAAGTGCACCTGGGGGCAGGGGGAGGGCAGGCAGAGTCCAGGCCTCTGCTTGCCCTCACCTCAATTTCAAATTTCCTCAGAGACCCAGGTATCCCATCCCACCTGAACCCACCACTCTCCCTCTCCAGCCTTCAACTTGCTCCCCTCACCCCACCCCCACAAACAAATCCTTCTCCCTCATTTACTGCTGCCATGGAGCCAGGTGGGGCTTACCTGACAGTACAAGTAGTAGAGCCCAGCCCGAGTGACTGTGAATTCCCCGCGCTGGCGGTCATAGCGCAGTGGGTTGGAGCTGTTGATTTTGGCCTCTTCCCAGCCACTCACCGTCCCATCCACACCTGAATAGTGATGTTCAAAGATAAGGAAAGATCCCTTCACGGGGCTCCCCCACACTCTCGAGGGCTCCGTTAACTCTACAAACATTTTGGGCCTACTTTACCCTGAAGATAAGGAGCCCTGGTAGCAGAGTGGTTTAGTCTGTCCGCTAACCAAAATGTCTGTGGTTCAAACCTACCAACCACTCTGCAGGAGAAAGACATGGCAGTCTGTTTCTGTAAAGATTTACAGCCGTTGAGACCTGGTGCAGTTCTACTCTGTCCTATAGGGTTGCTAGGAGTCAGAATTGACTCAATGGCAGTGGTTTTGTTTTGTTTGGGTTTTACCCAGAAGATAGATTTATCACCCAGGGCAAAGGAGTAGCCAATCCCCATGGAACTGACAGGATACTAGGAAGTATGTGTAGAAATCTCATGTGTATATGATTGAACATGAAGACAGAAATACCAAGAAAGATACAGAGCAAGCTGTCATCAGTGATCACTTCTGGGGAGAAGTGTTGGACTGAAGAAGTGTGTGTGGACTTTTATATTTAATATTTCATATTTACTTCTATGTCTATAATGGGAGCTCTGGACCACCAGACTAAGACTAAGACATTTGACCACTAACCAGAAGGCTGGTGGTTCAAACCCACCAGCCACTCCTCGCAAGGAAGGTTGGGCAATCTACTTCCGTAGTGATACTGCCTCAGAAACCCAAGGAGGGGTGGCTATGAGTTGGATTCAACTCCACAGCAGTGGTTTTTGCATTTATGTCTGTAATGTTTATCTTTTTACCTTGAGAATATGCTTATTTTAAAATAAAATATTCATCAACTGATGAATGGATAAACAAAATGTCATATATCCATACAATGGAATATTACACAGCCATAAAAAGGAATAAAATACTGGTCCATGGTATAACACAGATGAACCTTGAAAAAATATACTGAGTGAAAGTAGCCTGTCACAAAATACCACATACTGTATGATTTCATCTGTATGAAATGTCCAGAGTAAGTAAATTCAAAGACAGAAAGTAGATTAGTAATTGCATGGGGCTGAGGTGGGGAGGAATGGGGGAATCAAACAGTGATAGCTAAAGGGTAAAAGCCAAACCAGTTGCAGTCAAATAAAAAAATAACAACCCAGTTGCAGTCAAGTCAATTCCAAGTCATGGCGGCCCATATGTGTCAGAGTAGAACTGTACTCCATAGACTTTTCAATGGCTGTTATCTTTTGGAAGTTGACTGCCAGATCTTTCTTCCAAGATGCCTCTGGGTTGATTTGAACCACCAACTTGGTTTAGGTTAGTAACCAAGCACTTAATCACTTGCACCACCCAGCTAAAGGGTATGGAATTTCTTTTTGAGGTGATGAAAATGTTCCAAAACTGATGGTGGTAATGGCTGCATGACGCTGTGAATATACCACAATCCATTGAATTGTACACTTAAAATAGGTGAATTGTGTGAGTTATATTTCAATAAAGCTGTTACCAAAAGAAAAAAAAAAAAAAAGATAAAGCAGTGTATCAAGTGGCTCCCCAGTCCTTCACGGTCCACCCTTTTCAGCCTCTCCAGTTCAGTCTCATACACTTTCCGATTCACAGAACCCTCGACACTCTGGCTTGCTTTCTGTACCTCCACACAGCAAGCCCATTCTCCCTGCTGAGCTTTTTACTGCTCTCTTCGTCCCAGAACACTCTTCCCTGGGTTGGTACCTTCTGTCCCTCAGATCTCAAATGGCCTGAGAGACCTTTTGGGGCCACCAGTTTAAAACAGCCAGGCCCACCCCTTCCTCCATTAATCTCTTCAACATTACCCTGTTTCTTTCAGCACAGTCACCAGCATCAGAAATTATCTCATTTATGTGTTTGTCTCTGCCTCTCCTTCCAGGGCAGGGACAAAACCTGAAGACCAAACCCAGTGCCATTGAGTCGATTCCAACTCATAGGACAGGGACAACCTTGGCTTATTTATCACTGTATCCCTGGGGTGCTGGGTGGGCACCCAGTAAACACTGCTGAGAAGACACAGGAAATGAGATGAACATGGCCAACAGCTTGCTCCTCACTTGGTTGGGCCATAAGCTGTACCAGGTCCTTCCTGGCTGAGCCTCAAGGAGTCTCTGCAGCTACCTTCTCCAGTCCTTCTCCTGCCAACCTCATGGCTCTGTTCTTGTCATGGTTTCAAGCTAGGGACTCTCACTGTGCATTTTCATTCGTACCCATGAGATTATCACAATCTACATCCTACAGACTCCAGATCGGAGTCTCTAGCAGATTATTTCCTGTTCTTCCTCTCTCTGCTGACACTACCATCTGACTAGCCATGGGCACCTCGAACTCATCTGACCCAAACCAAGCGTGTCTCCTCTCTGCCCCCCTCAGACTTGCTGTATTGTCTATGTTTCACATTCGACTCACAGTCCTCCACCCACCAGGTGCCCAAGCCTCCCTCTCCTTCACCAACTTCATTCATTGCTCTCTAGCGCCTATCAATCCTGCCCCTAAATAATTCCACCCCATCTCCCCCACCAGCCTGATCCCTGCCATTTCTTACTGGGACTCTCTATTTCCAACTGCGCCTCCTCCGAGTTGTTCCTTGCACACAGTATGATTGTTCTCAAGTGAGATTTGATCTGCTGCTCTTTGCTTTAATCCTTTGAATGGCTCCCCTTGGATTAACTCCACATTCCATCTGTGACCTGGCTCCTGCCCTCTTCTCATACCTCATCTAGCACTGTCTGCTTCAGCCTCCAGTCTCATCAGACTCAGGACTATTACAGAAGTCCCTTCTATCTTCGAATGCCCTTGATCCTTTGTCCATCTGACACTCATGATCAAGCCCCAGCAAAGCCATGCCATTGTGGGGAAGGAGTTCCTGATTTCATTGTAAAGTTTGTCCTCCTCTGTGCCACCATGCGTCTTTGGCTACTTTCCTTTTTGTACCTATCATATTGTCCTGTAATTACAATTTTTTTTCCCACAAGCTTGTAGTTACAAATTTATAGGTGTATCTCTTCTCCTAGACTTCTTGAGGATAGGTCTGGGTATTCCCCACTGTAGGTACCTAGCCCAGTCCCTGACACACAATAGGTTCTCATTGCATGTGTGCTGAGTCAATGAATTAATGAATGTCCATGTAGTTGCTAAAATAAGTGGGAGGAAGACTGGCCTAGGAGCAGAAGAGGGAGGACATTTTGGACCCACATATCTTACAAGAAGTAATCTCTAAAATTTATAGAAAACTTCAACACCTCAACAACAAAAAGACATACAATCCAATTTGAAAATGGGCAGAGGACATGAAAGACACATCACTGAAGAAGATATACAGGTGGCCAACAAAAACATGAAGAAATGTTCATGATCATTAGCCCTTTGTTGTTGTTGTTATGTGCCATCGAGTCAGACTCAACTCATAGTCATAGCAACCCCTCCTTGGGTTTCCGAGGCTGTATCACTACGGAAGTAAATTGCCCAATCTTCCTTCCGAGGAGTGGCTGGTGGATTTGAACCTCCAGCTTTCTGGTTAGCAGTCAAGTGCCTTAGGCACTATGCTACCAGAGCTCCTTATTAGCCATTGTTGTTGTTGTTGTTGTTATGTGCCATCGAGTCAGACTCGACTCATAGCGACCCCTCCTTGGGTTTCCGAGGCTGTATCACTATGGAAGAAGATTGCTCAATCTTCCTTCCGAGGAGTGGCTGGTGGGTTTGAACCACCAACCTTCTGGTTAGCTGTCAAATGCCTTAGGCACTACGCTACCAGAGCTCCTTAGCCATTAGAGAGATGCAAATCAAAACAACGAGATATCATCTTACTCCAGCATTAATGGGAAAGTTCAAAAAAACAGAAAACAATAAATGCTGGTGAGGGTGTAGAGAGACTGGAGCCTTCATACCCTCCTGGTGGGTCTGTAAAATGGTACAACTACTGTGGAAAGTGGTATTGTGCTTCCTTAAGAAGTTGGAAATAGAAATACCATATGATCCAGCAATCCCACTACTAGGTACTAGAGAAATTAAGAGGCATGACATGAACAGACATATGCACACCCACGTCCATCACAGCATTATTCATAATAGCGAAAAAGAAGGAAAGAACCTATGTGCCCATCAGTGGATGAATGGATAAACAAACTATGGTACATACACCTAGTGGAATACTATGCAACGTTATAGAATACCGATGAGTCTGCCAAACACTTCATAACATGTATGGACCTGGAGAACATTATGCTGAAAGAAATGAGTCCATTACAAAAGGACAAATACTGTATACGACTGCTACTGTAAAAAGTCAAGAAAAGGTTTACACACAAAAAGAATCATTCTTTGAAGGTTATCAGGGGTAGGAGGGAAAGGAAGGGTAAACATGTATTAAGTTGGGTGAAGGGAAAGGCAATAAAAAAATCAAATAAGTTGTACATACTGAGGGGAGGAAACTGGCTTGGTAGCAGAAGCAGGAGCACATTTCTGGCTATGGAATCAGTTTGAGTGAAGGCTGGTGGTGGCAGAAGGCACCTCTTCTATTCTTACAACGTGGTCTGCCTGGTGTAATGGAACTCTGGTGGTACAGTGGTCTAAGCACTCAGCTTTTTTTAGCCAAAAGGTCAGTAGTTCAAACCCACCAGTTGCTCCACAGAAGAAAGATGAGGCAGTCTGCTTCTGTAAAGATTTATAGCCTTGGAAATCCTATGGGGCAGTTCTATTCTTCCTTATAGGGTTGCTATGAGTTGGAATCCACAGTAGTGGAATCCATGGACTCCATGGCAGTGGGTTTGGTTTCCTTTTTGGTCTGTCTGGGACACATGTGGTGTCACTGCAGATTCACAACCACAAACCTCAAGTGACAATCCCATATTGCCTGGCTACCCTCCTACTTTCTTCTACTAAGCCTGCTTTTACACTCATCAAGACAAGCATTTTGTACCATCTTCCCTCAAATCTCCTGCCCTGTCCCCCCAGTTCTCCAGAGGACCTGGAAATCACAAGGCTGGGACTGCCTCATCTCTCCCTTCTAAATCCACACTCACTGTTCTCATCTTCTCCTCTAACTCTCTTGTGACGATGACTCTGCATCCCATCCTCTCCCACCTTGGCCACTGCCCCTGTAGGTACCCCCACCCCTACACCAGCAACCTCACCTCTCACACAAACCATGTCTGGTACACAAGCACACTCTAGCTGGGTTCAAATCCTGGCTCCATCATTGACTATCTTTATGACTTTGGACAAGTTACATAATCTCTCTCAGACTTGTCTCATCTGTTGTTGTTAAGTGCTGTCAAGTCGATTGTCTACTCACAGAGACTGAACGTGACAGAGTGGAACTGCCTCACAGAGCTTTCTAGGCTATAATCTTTATGAGAGCAGATTGCCAGGTTTTTTCTCCCACAGAGCCAGTGGGTGGATTCAAACCACTAACTTTTCAGCTAGCAGCCAAGTACTTAACCACTGCACCTGTCTGAGGTCCTTTTCTCATCCCTAAAATGATGGAAATCAGAATCTCTTCCTTATAGGGCTATTGTGAAGATTAGATGAGATAGAACAGGTGCTACTGAAAACCACTTGCCACGGGCTTGACTTAGACTCATGGTGACACCATGTGTGTCAGAACAAAACTGCTCCAGAAGGTTCTCACGGCTGACTTTTCAGAGGCCTTTCTTCTGAGTAGACTTGAACCTCCAATCTTCTGGTTAGCAGCCAAGTGCATTAACTGTTTGCATTACATCACCCAGAGACAATAAGACGTGTCAGCTAAGATTAATGCAATATTGCCTATCCCTAAAAGGACAAAACTTTTCCTTGACCCCACATCCATCCCCCTGTACCTATTAGCCTATTTCTCTGCTCTTGTCACAGAGAAACTTCTGGAAAGAGTTGTCACAGTCTCCAATTCCTTATCTCTCATTCTCTTCTTGATTCAATCCAATCTGGCTTCTACCATAACTCGCCACTGAGACTGTCTGCATCAAAGTCACCAGTTGACTTTTATGTTACCAAACCCAGTGGTCACTTCTCTGTTCTCATCTCATGTGACCTCTCAGTCACATTCAACACAGATAGTCACATCCTCCTTGTCGTCCCTTGGATTTCAAGACACTGCCCTTCCCTGGCTTTCTTCCCCTCTCTCTAGCTGTTCCTTCTCAGTCTCCTTGGCTGGGTTCCCTTGCTCTACTCTCCTTCAAGTGCCTGAGGCCTTTGTTCTTGGGGTCCTTCTTTTGCCAGCTACAGTCTTTCCCCTGGTGACTTACCCAATCCTACACCATCTCTATGGCAATGACTCCTGACTCTTCATAGATCCTGACCTGGCCCCTGAGCTGGCCTCATATGTCCAGCTATCCATTTGTGGAATTCACTTGTTTATTTATTAGAGATCTGGAATTTAATTATTAATTTATTCCTCTCGATCTATTTCTTCCATTGTCAATCCTATTTTAGCAAAAAATGGCATCGTTACTTCCAAAGATACCCAAAGTTAAAAATCAAGATGTCATTTGGAGTTCCTCCTTATCCCTTCACCTGCACATCCAACTCACAACAAGTCCTATCTCTAAGACATCTGCAGAATCCATCTACTGCTTTCCATCTCTCCTACCAACACCTAAGACCAAGCCACCATCATGTGTATCACAATGGAAGGGTATTCTAGGTGAAGAATATGTGCAAAGTCCACAAAAGAACATTGGGGAGGTTAGCCCAACAAACATAGAGAACATGTAAGATTTTCAGGGTGTGCAAGGAAATGTGGTTGAGATGAGGTCATGAAGAGGCTGAAAATCAAGCCGTGAAAGAATGGAACAACGAAAGTGAAGGCTAGGGGAGCACAGCTTGGCAGCAGAGCTGGGCAGCGCAAAGGGGTGGGGAGAGCCTGGAATGGGAAGGAGCTAGAGGCTGGGTTTGGGAGCTCCGGTAGCGTAGTGCCTAAGGCACTTGACTGCTAACCAGAAGGCTGGTGGTTCAAACCCACCAGCCACTCCTCGGAAGGCAGATGGGGCAATCTACTTTCATAGTGATACTGCCTCAGAAACCCAAGGAGGGGTCGCTATGAGTCGGGTCCGACTCAACAGCGGCACATAACAACAACAACAGAGGCTGGGTTTGAGGTTCCAAAGGTATAGTGTTAAGGTGAGGTGATGAGGTAGGGATAGAAAACAGGAGAAACTAGAAATGTTTTAAGGAAAAATGATCAGGATGTGAAGACTAAAGGAATATGGAGGGGAAAGAAAGGAAAAATTTAAAAAAGCTGCCTCTTTGAGCAAGGTGAGAGCCGAAGGAAAAAGCTCAAGGAAAACTCGGGCAGGTGGTTTACACCTCACTCCTGGGGAGGGAAGGAGTCCTCCTGGGGCCCCACGCCTGGGCCATAGAGATAAGTAGGTTTGGGAGCTGAGAGAACCAAACCCTGAGGACTTCGTGAACTGGCTTTTGCGGGCCAAAGGGAAAGAGCTGACTGAGGGTGGGGGTCATGAGGAGTCAAAGGCTGAGGGGCCCCCTCCCAGGAGGCCAGTGCTGTGCGAGTCACAGAGACCCAGAGATAGGGAAGGAGGTCCTACCTGCTTGTGCTCCATCCTGTCCTGGCCGTGGGTGAACTGTGAGATGCAGGAAAGTGTTGGTGAGGCCTATGCCCCAAGTCCCTCTGCCACCCCTCCTCCCAGGCATGGCTCACCATCACCCACCTTCATAGTGGGCTGCAATTGCTCTGCGACCCCGGGTTTTCCGGCCTTTAGCTGCTGAGAGTCAAGGAGAGACAGATGGACAACACAGGGCCCTCCAGGGGTCTCAGGAGCCCCTCCTCCAGCCCTGCTCCCCTCTCAGGTCCCTGGCACCCAAGTTCTTGTCCCGATTTGTGGCCTCAGAACTTCATCTTCCTCCATACACAGAGTGACTATATAGTTTATCATATAAGCCAGTATACTTCTGAGAGTACAAGAGGTCCTGTTAACAATCACACTGAGACAACAGACGGAAACAAGAACAGTCCCAGCAAACCAGTACATATAGTCATCTGGTTATCTGGTCATCTTATTCTTAAGTCTCTTTGTTCTAGTGGGTTCCAGGCCTCTGGCTCCCTCAACTAGACCCTATCAAGACCCCAAGGACCCCCCCCTAATCCATGGCCACCCCCTTCATTTCTGGGATGGGTTCTGAAAAGAAAAGCAGGTTCACGCAGTGGAAGGAGTGTCACAGGAAGGGTGGGTATCCTCAGGCCCTCCTGTAGGCTGACTATTGCTTGAATCTGAGCCCCCTCCCTTTCACTCCCTGTTTCTCCATCCAGAAGGGCGAGTAATGGTTTTTGCTCTGCCCGTTGCACAGGCCTGTTATGATGAACAAAAGCAATGAAGAATCCAGAAGTCACCGTAAATAGAGTAGCCACAGTTATTATCCCTGAGCTCAGGGTAGAAGGACGCTCACCACTTCTGCGGGGCCGCGCAAGTCGGTTCAGGAAAGATGCAGGACCCTGGCTTCCCTGTCCCTGGGGATTCAGTTCCTAGAGGATTAAGAGCAGGGTTAAGCCAGCATCTGGCCAAGGAACCCCACAGACATTTACTGAGAAAGATGAGGGCTATCAGGAGAGCCACCAGCCAACAACAGGCAAAGAAATCTTAGGGAGAGAGACACCCCTCATCCTCATGTAGCTCAGGGCAAGGCGAAGGTAAGACCCTGGGGTCAGGCCCTAGACCTCACCCCCTTCCCCAGGCCAGCCACACCCCTCCAGCCCCAGACACAGAACCCACTCAAACCCTGTGCTCAAGTGGCACATTGCACACACTCCACACAATCATCATGCACAGTAGGTAGACACCCTGTACCCACCAGCATTCCTCTTCCACGCTACCTCTCACACTCTCACTTCCACCTCATCCATAGCCAATCAACACTTCACATTTACTTGGCACGAACTAGTACAAACCTCTTACACACAGCTTGCTCTGTCACACACACACACGCATGCACACACACACGGACGGCACATGTCCACCCATACACTTTCATCATGCACACCTGCCTTCACACACACCTGCATGCACCTCGCACACACACACCTCGCATGCCCAGCAGCAGCCTTCTAACAGCATCCACAGCCACTCACCGGCGGGTCCTGGTCCTCCTCAGCCACCAGCTCCCCCTGTGAAGGCTCCTGCTGAGAAGGAGTCAGTGTCACCCTGCCCTTTTCCACCTGACAGCTCGCCCTCCGCCCTCCCTCCTCTCAGGCTCCTTCTCCGCGTGCCCAGGGGGCGTGCAGCAGGGCCTCACCTGGGCCGACGGCGCCGCCCGGCTCCCCAGGCCGACCGCGGCCAGCAGGAGGCCGAGGCAGGCCAGCGTCAGGCCCAGGCCCAGCGCGAGCGGGGCCAGCAGGGCGGTGCCAGGCGCCCCCCGGCGCCCCCTCCGCCTCGGGCTCCGACGGGCGGCCATGGGGGCGGGGGGCTGTGCCTGCCTCACCGCCCCCCCATCCCGGGACCCGAGGGATCGGGGAGGGGGGCGGGCGGGCGGGCCAGCTGGGGAGAGGGAGGGGCCAGGGAAGCGGGGCGGGAGGGGGCCGAGGACAGGAAGCCGGACACCGTGTGTGTGAGATGAACTTGGGGCCTGGGAGGAGGGCGTGCGCCAGACTTGAGAGCATGAACCAGCGAGACCCAGGGAAGAGGCCCCCAGCCGCCCGGGCGTGTACACCAGAGGCGGATGTTTGTGTGAGTGTGAACCGGGCGAGAAGAGAATGTGCACCTCCGAAGGGAATTCATGCAGAAGGGAGGGAAGAGAACAGAAATGAGCATGAACTGACCCAGGCCTGGGTGCAAAGCGCTTAGGATGGGAGAGCCTTCGCCTGCTGCACATCTGTCCTAGCCAATCCTGGTAGTTTCTTTAGGGCTCTGGGCCAAATTAACCTACCATCAGGCAATGTGTGGCTCCAACAGCATGGTTGGGGCCAAGGCACTATCTTCTTGGCCAGCTGTAGAAACATTTGCATTTTATCAGCTGCATCTCAAGAAGAAAAAAAAAAAAAAACTTTCCCGGAAGTAAGAAGAAAAGTTCATGAGGACATGCATTACCTGACTCATGTTTTCATCTCTTTCCACAAACCAATTAGTCCTTGATTTAAACTTTAGTGACTTGTAACTAGAGCAAGGCCTGTGGGCTAGCCTTCCAGGGTATCTCTCCTCAAGCAGTGTATTCCCAAAATGCACTTTTCTGGAAACAGGGCTTTGGGGGTCACTTTAGCTAATAATAGGGCACAAGGGAACAGCTCAAGGTAGAACTACAAGTGCCCCATAAATGTTATTGGTAAAAGCTGGACCTTCCCCCCCCTCCCCATGAACACAGTTTTGTAAACAGTAAGACTCTCACAAGTTCATTTAACTTGCAATGTTAATTTCTACACATTTGCAGTGAAACTATTAGAAGATAATTCTGTTATAAGAGTAATCATTAAACAAACAGGTAAAACAGTGATACTGAATAAGTAAAATAGGTAGAGAGACTTTTGCCTGTGTCTCTATGCTCAGTTCTGTCCCCCCCCACCACCACCACCACCTCGCTCTACTCCATTTTTGCTGTCTTACTGTTTCTGGTGTACTGAACCACTTTCTTCCTTCAGGGTCTCAAGGTATGTTATTTCCCTTACTTGGAACACTCTGACTACCCTCCCCTCCAGCTTAAATCACATTAGAGAGAGTATTTTAGGTCATCTTTGTACAGTAGAAAACACTCCGCATTCTCTATCCTGGTACCCTTTATTTCTTTCTTCGTTATCACAATCTGTAATCATATATTTCACTACTTGTATATTGTTGATCTCCCTAACTACATTGTAAAATATTATATATTTCCTCATTATGTCTCTAGAATGTAAAATCCAAGAGGACATTATTCATTATTTTATTCCCAGCTCCTTGTTAAATGCTGGGTCCACAAATACAACTAGAACAGGCTGTTGATAAGACGAAGCTGAGTTTATTACTTACCCCTCAACAGAGTCTGATAATGTCTCACAGGGAGAAGGGCAAGGCCATGATATGTAGTGAGACTTTGAAGTCTAGTTTAAGGTGGGTCTTTGAATGCTGAGGCGGCGCAGAGGGTGATTAGGATTGGGTAAGGGTCATGGTAGGAGCTCTGGTGGCATAGTGCCTAAGGCACTTGATTGCTAACCAGAAGGCTGGCGGTTCAAACCCACCAGCCACTCCTCAGAAGGAAGGTTGGGCAACCTACTTTCATAGTGATACTGCCTTGGAAACCAAAGGAGGAGTCGCTATGAGTCGGATCAGACTTGATGGCGGCACATAACAACAACAACAACAAGGGTCTTGGTAGGGAGCTTTGGTGGCCTAGTGCCTAAGGCTAACCAGACTGCTAACCAGAAGGCTGGCTGTTCAAACCCACTAGCCACTCCTCAGAAGGAAGGTTGGGCAATCTACTTCTGTAGTGATATGGCCTTGGCAATCCAAGGAGGGGTTGCTATGAGTTACAATCAACTCGAGGGCAGTGAATTTCTTTTTTTTTTTTTAAGGGTCATGGTAAAATAGTTTAAGATGAACACAATAAAGTGAAGATTTTGAGGCGAGGGATTCATACAATTTTAGGGTGTGTTATGGATTAAATTATATCCCCCAAAAATGTGTTGGAGTTCCAACCCCTATTACTGTACATATGACCTTGTCTGGAAATAGAGGTTTTCTTATGTTGTGTTAATAAGGTCATACCAGAATAAGGAGGGTCCTAAATGTAATCACTTCTGAGACATATGTTACAAAAAGAGCAGAACAGACACAGAGACACATATGGGGTCCAGGGGGTGGGGGATAGATGCTAAGTGAAAATAGTCTAGAAGCCAAGGACCGCCAAGGAACTCCCAGGGCTACTGACCAGGAAGGACCTTCCCCTAGAACCACACCCTGAATTCAGACTTTCAGCTCCAGAACTGTGAGAAAATTAATTTCTACTCTTTAAAGCCACCCACTTTTATTTATTTATCTTTTGTTTTATTTTAAGAGTTTGTTTTACATTCAACATTACATGAACAATTAGTTTCACTCCCTGTTTGCCATACCCAACCCTAACCCAGTCTCCTCCCCTCTTTGCCCAGTAACCCTCCCCCTGTGCCCCTCATAGTTATGCACTCCTACTTATCCTGCATTTCCTCCTTGTGAATGTTGTACGTCTGGTGCCCTGTGGTCTATTGCTCCAAGGGATGTATTTCCATAGAGTATGTGGGTAGGTCACCCTGGGTTGAGTGGTCTACATGTATATGTTGTTAACTATTGGGCTGAGAGCTAGCCCTTGGGAGTGAGTTTTATTCCAGGCCCAGAATATATCCCAGGGCCATAGTATTGGGGTTCTCACCAGACTCCATCTGACCAGTAATTCTGGTCATTGTTTTTTTTTTTGGATTTTGTTTCATGTTTTTCCTCCTGCTCTATCCAGGATCTCCAGATTTGATCCTTTCCTGAGTGGTTGGCATCGGTAGCCAGGCACCATCTAGTTCTTCTCATCTTGAGGGTCATCGTGTCCTAGGGCTGATTGCTTTGCATTCTGATTTTCTTTGTACTCTTCTTCACTTGTGACGATAGAGACCATTAGGTGCATCTTAGATGGCTGCTTGAAAGCTTTTAAGACCCCAGTTGCTACTCACCAATGTAGGACGAGGAACAAGGTTTTTATGTATTTTGTTGTGCCAATTGCATCTGGTGTCCCCCAGTAGTATGGTTCTGAGACGGTAGATCCAAAAGCCACCCATGTTTAGAAGGATCAGCACAAGGGTGGTTCCTATGAGGCAGAGGAAAGATGTCACAAATGTCCAACTTTTCCATCATCTCTAACATCAGCTCCTCTTCCTCCCCTCAGTACTCTCCCTCCTGTCTTAGGGTTCCGTGTTTCACTGAAACATCTCACAGAACTCAGAAACTGTCAAGGAAACAGCTCAAATGGTAGTGGAGCCTGGCAGTCTGGCATGTCCCAAGTCCGTAGTTAGCTCTGGAAGATTCTCCCCACTTGTGTGGTTGCAGGGGCTGGTGAACCCAAATCGGTGGGTCAGATGACTGGCTGCCATCTCAAGTCCAAGGATGAGATGACAACGAACCAAATGCAGGATCTGGAGCAAGAGAGAGAACTTTCCCAGAATATTCACATATAGACCCTCAAGGAAGCTAAGGGTGGTGACTTGATCACACCGCCAGCAAGGCCGGACTAAAGATACATCCCCCTCTAAACAGACATAGAGACTAGAATTTATAATACATCAGAAAATGTAGGATGATGGCTAGAAGGGCCACATTAAGCAATTCACAGCACTGTAGTAACTAAGACAGGGTGCAAACTGTCAGTTGATACTTTTCTATTGAAGAGTTGATGGATCTTCCAGGAAGTTCTTGGCATAAGCAATAGTTAATTGCAATGTTTATCATCATGGGCAGAGTGTCTTGGAATAACAGTTATGCCAAGAGTGGAATGCAGACAGTAGCCTGTGTGAGGTGGATGATTTCAGTTCTCAATCTATACCTTGTACCTATTAGATGCTCAGTAAACTGAAAGCTCCAAGAGGATAGGGACTACATGTTTTCTTTGCCACTGTTTGTACTCAGTGCCTAGCTCTATGTCTGGCAAACAAGAAGCACTCAATATACATTTGCTTTCTTTTTTTCATTTTGAAAGCAGTTAACACATATTTCTTGAATGAATGAATAACAAATAGATGAATGCTTTATTTGGAATTCTAAACTAAAAACCAAACCAAACCCACTGCCATTGAAATCGATTCTGACTGATAGTGACCCCCATTGTGTTTCCTTTATGGAAGTAGTTTGTCCCATCTTCCTTCTGAGGAGTGGCTGGTGGGTTTGGACTGCCAACCTTCTGGTTAGCAGTCAAATGCCTTAGGCAGTGTGCCACCAGAGCTCCTTATTTGGAATTCTAGTGGTTGATATTTAATACAAGGAGGAAGACGAAGCACAAGAGACTGGTAAAAAGCCCAGGAGAAGTTCTGGCCATCTTTAGGCTATACAGCTTAATGATACTGACTTAAGTGTTATTTTACTTCTAATTTGTGACTTTAACTTTTCCCTTGATACAAGAGTTTCATTGGCATGATTCTGTGATTATTAGTGTAGTTAGGGCTTTTCTGGGGCATACAAATGAAATGAAGACAGGGATGATGGACTGGGAAGATCTTCTGAGGTCATTGGACAAGAGTTAGAAGAAATCAAGGTAAGAAGCGTGAGATGCAAGTTAGTACCAGAAACTAATGTCTGAGCCAGGAGAAGAGCAGAAGAAAAGCGGAGGAGAGCTTGTGTGCAATCCCGAGGGAGCTTGGCTCTGGCTTCGCATGAAGACTGGGACTGCAGAAGCCTTGGGTTTTCAGCCGAGTGTCTGTCCCCACCATAAGCCTTCTGCCTTCAGGTGAACAGACAATGCCCCAGCTGGAAAAG